ATAAAAACAAATACACATAAGGAGACTGGCCTACCTATTTACTATTTCAAGGGGATAGGAGCTGAAGGCTGCATTTAAACCAGGTTTCTGTTTAAAAATGAGCAGGGATTCTGTTTTGCAATACGGATGTTTTGTTTTGCATTTTCTTCGCTATTAGAATTTTTTTGAAATTTTAAACTTTTTGGTAGCAGGCACCACATTTACTGCGCTTCTGCTTCTTTCTTTTAGAACGCTGATAAAATCATACTTCTTATTATTTATGATATTATACTTTGATAATTGTGCTGTTCTCTTTAGCCTATTTACTTCTATGTTAAAATCAAAAGTAACAAATTCATCAAGAGGTCAATACTAAATACATTCTCATATTTATTCGTCTCTGACTCTCCGCTATTATTTCTATCATATTCAAGTTTAACCAATACCTATAAAATTATCTTATTAATTTGAATTAAGAAGAAATGTTGAATGGACATTTTTCGGTAAAAAAAATATTGCTTGAATTCGAAAAGAAAATCCGACAATTAGCTGATGTTGTGTTGCTAACCACCAGATGACGGTGAAAATTTTGAAAATTCTGAATCTTGTTTTTTTAATCATCTACATTAAATTTATTTGAATTAAAAAGCTTCATTTTTGGAGACAGGTTTACCTAATCACTATATAAAATATTATGGATGAGAAAGTTGATCGTGAATTGTAGCTTATGATAGTTTTCAGGCAGGCAAAGATAAATTAACAATATTAAAGTTGGAGTGCAAATTCTGTGAAAAATTTTATCATTGAGAGATTTTTTGAAATGCCTCAAAGTCATTTAGTTTTGAAGAAAGATCACCCAAGTCAAGTCCTCGGAAATTATGAGTAAAAATCATTCCATCTAAGCATCACGCAGGAAATGTGGTTAATCCTGAACGTAAACATTCGCGTGCACGGAAAAAACTCAGTTTAGACAGTATAATATCGATCATCGAGGCATCAATCCTCGATGATAACTCTCATTCCAAAAACTTTATGTATAACAAGAGTTTTTGCTAAACATTGTGTAGTTGAAAGAATAATAACAATTTCTGTATTTTTAATATTTTATAAGCAACAGTGGAAACTTCAAAGGATCTTAAACCTCTTCGCGGAGTCACGCCAACCATTCCACATGCGATCGTTTTAATAAATTTCTCCTAAATGGCTCGTTGTGCGCCATGCTTTCTCTCACAGAAAATAATAGCCCTTTTTGTCTTCATTGTCCTATAAGCCATGACATTCATCGTCCACAGATGCTTCTGCGGCCACAACAACCGCCTAATTTATTATAACAACTCTCAAGCTTCTAATAAATCCCCCTAATAAGGACCAGGCAACAAAAACACTGATAATTCACCACGAAGGATCTAACGGGAGGCGGTCTCACTAATGTCGAGGAATCACACTGAGTTCCTTGCGGCGCTTAATGATAATATAACGTTTTCTATTTTTGCTTCATTTCATTCATATTTATATTTATTTATTATTTTGCTTCATTTATTATTTTAGATTTAAGGATGACATGGATAGCGTCAATAATTATCCAGGTCGAAATATTGTTCAAGTTGCATTCATTTTTATTATGAATTCATTACACTCGTGCATCTTAATTAAATTTAGTTGTCTCTAGATCATTGCAGTATCATTTTGCCTTTTTACTGACTAGATTATTCCAGTGAAAAATTAATTTCTTCTCGAGTTTTGCTAATTTACGAGCGGTTATCCTCGACGAAAGCCTCAGCTGTAAAATATAAAATAGGCCGTAATTTGAAACAAATCATTTCATTTTGAATGGCTTGAAATAAATAACAAAATATTTATTATTATTTCGGCGTTTCGCCGGCAACACTTTACTTTACTGCGTCAGTTTTGGACACCAATTAAGACTATATCTTAATGATATAGTCTATGTGTAAATAATATAGTCTATTTGTTGATGATGGAGTCTATGCCTTAATGATATAGCATATATCTTAATGATTTAATCTATATCTTAATAATACGGTCAATATCTTAGTGATAAGGTCATTATCTTGATGATATAGTCTATTTCTTAATGACAAAGTCTATATCTCAATGATATAATCTATATCTTAATGATTTGGTCTATATCTCAATGATATAATCTATATCATGATGATATTGTATATATCTTAAAGGTATATTCTGCATCGTATCCCAATAATTTAGTAAATATCGGTTACCACTAAAAAATATATTGGTAACGCTCTCAAACTTATCACAATTTGAAATAAAATCATACATTTTTTTAAGCGACATCCGTGATTTTATTCCAAGCGACATTTATTTGAGAGGTTCTCGTTCATCAAAACAGTTAATGGCTTATTGCATTCACTTCCAACGTTCATTTTCCTACATTTAATTTCGCATCTTTTATGACTCCCCTTCCCAATCCCCTTCTCTTTCATGCCAATTTCCCCTCACTTTCAAACTCTCTCGAGCTTCCCTCACTCGAACTCGCAAGCGAGGCTTCCAACTGACAGCTTCCTTATCGCGAGGGGAGCCGTAACCCCTCTCCCTCGCCCTCTTCAAATTCACCCCCTCGGTCTTGGTAGAGTTCCACTCCGTATTCAAAGTCATCTTGATGGAATATGAAGTTATTTGAATTTAATAAAATTCTTTTATTAAATTATGTGCATTTGTTTCCAATATATTCGACTGACATGAGTATCCACTGATATTTGTGCGGTCGAATCGTCAAATTATTTTTATTATTTAATTTAGGAAATGACTTTCTTTATATTCGATGGTAGAAATTTACATTCTTCGTTCCCATCAAGCAAGCTCTCGTTGAATGGTGCTAGTGCTATTGTATAACCTGGAGACCAATCACTATATAAAATAGGATCTTCTTTGTCTTTACTGGTGCACGAAAAATGTCTATAGGACTCCTTGCATTTGCAGCCTGGGATCTTAACCCTCTACCGCCGTATGTCACTCTCCGGGAACATAACTTTCAACCTAAATTAGACGTAAACTATTGAATGTAACAACCTGAGAACGTTTGTACGCAACAGAGAACACTTCAAAGTTGTCGTACGTGGCGGCAACCATCAGTGCAAGTCATTTTGCGCTCACTAGAACGTATTCTTTTTGGGAAGAAGACTTGTGACAATATATCTCCGGTTACTATGTCAGGCGGTAGAAGGTTAACACCACTGGCTTTTTAATACAGCTTTTGTTGGCCAACATCTTAACACCTTTCGCTTCAATATCGCTTCTTTTAGCCTAGAACGCCCTAGATCTTAACACCTCTCGCTTTAATATCGCTTCTATTGGCCTACATCTTAACACCTCTTGCTTTAATAACGCTTCTATTGGCCTAGATCTTAACACCTCTTGCTTTAATATCGCTTCTATTGGCCTACATCTTAACACCTCTTGCTTTAATATCGCTTCTATTTTCGCTCGTTAAGACAAACTCAGACACTAAACGCAGCCAGCGGAGGCCTTGAGGAGCATCGAGGGCTCTGAAGTAACAACGGAATTGTTGCTTCATTAAATGCTCATTTACATTTTAGCCGGCATAAATCATTAAAATCTCAAAGAAATCTTAATGAATGTCTGTTAAAATGTACAGTTCAATATAATAAAGGGACAGCAAATTAAATAATACCACGAATTTAATATCAAATAAAAATCATGAATTTAAGCGTATAAGCGATAGATAACAAACATTCAATTTACTCGATTGCATGTGTGAAATTAAATCTGATCTATTGGGAAATGTACCGCTCTATGCACCCTCGAATTTGTTTCATAACGATGCATGCGTTAAACTTTCTGCATTCCATTAACCTACTCACTTTATTCAAGCGCAATCAACATTCTCGTCAGGCCGAGAAATTTGAATTCGTATGCACGCTAAAATTTGAGTGACTGCGCAATTGAGCACAGCAGAGCGTGAGGTCTGCCGCCATACGGGCGTAATAAAGCTGAGAGGATCCAGCGATAAGTTTTACGGTAGAGTTTACGACTTTAACTTCACAGTCGTAAATTGTAACAAGCTCCACGAAAGTGCATACGGTCAGCTGGACATATTTCTTTGCGTCAAGTGCATCTCTTTCCCGGTAATAAAAGTTGAAAAATATTATACAGTTATACCCAAATTCTAGGCCGGCAGCTGCATTCGCCTGCGCTCGCACGGAAAATGAAAATAATTCTGACGCAATGGAATGTTATAAAAGATTTCAGAATGCAAAGAATTTAAAATAAATATTTGCTATTCACGCTCATGAATTATTATTTAAAAATAATCATCGAAACACGATTGACAAGTCAAATAATACAAAATAAATGATTGCATAGTTCCAAAAAACAGATGTTTTCAACATTTTATTTGAAAGGTTTTACCGCTACTTTATTTTGCAAAAATTTAAAATCATGATAACATGAATGATATAGTTAAAATTATAGTTATTATTTTGTTTGTCCTAGAGTTCCCTTTTGATTTCGTAGCTGGATTGCAGGGTGATTTACTCGTAGATTAGCCCGGCGTTTCAATGGTTTAATTTTGTGACATTGAGGAATGAAAAAGAATTTTGCTTGAAAAATTAAAATTAACTTTGTAAAGGATAAAGTTGTTCAAATAAGAAATTTTAATTTTTTTCTACAAATCCAAACAGGGCTTCAATGTGGGTTCCAGGCTAAATGTAGGTTTTGTAATTTTTCAATTTTGGATCTTAAGTATCAAAATTTTACAGTGGATGTTTGCGACAAGATTTGCAAAGAAGGGATTATCAAATTTCAAATAATAGAAATCAACTCCTGGCTAACCTTCCAGCTTGCACGTGATATAATATTAAATCTTATTATTGCAAAGGTTACAGATTCATGAATATCTGTGAATAAATTTTGAAGAAATCAACGTCCTAATTTCATACATCAAAGTTTTAAATTAAATTAAAAAGTAAAACTAAATTAATAACTAATAGTCTAAACTAAACCCATCTCCTACCCAGGTTTAAATGCTCCGCGTGACAGGCGTGATGGCAGTTCGCATCACGGCAAAGGTTCAAAAAAAAGGTAATTGTATTATAATCTTAATCAATGTTTGAAATTTTAATTAGTATTTAAGTTTTAGATCAGTTATGTCATCATTTGGTGAATCGCCCGTAGTAATTTAATTTCGATTAATAATGATGAATAATAAAAAAGAAAAATACCAATAAGCTTGCCCATGTAATAAAATTTTGCACAATAAATTTGAGGAATTACCTAATGAAATAATGTATATAATATGGGCAGTAAGAAAGCCAATCTGTTCAGCAGGTAAAAATTTATTACTTAATACGTCATATAAAATTTTATTTATTCCTGACTTTTTATAGCCCACCTAAAATGAACGGGTTAAATAATCACTGCTCACTGTAAATTTTCCCAGTGTGCATTCATCCCCAAGTGGCAAACATGCGAAACTCTTGAATTTATAATAAATTCCCGGGCTGCATGCAGTGCAGGACTAAAGGATACGATGAATTTTTAAAACACTTTTCCATGAATTTCTGATGGCCACCGGACAGGATATCGAGCCTCTGGCAGCATAAAGCTGCTGTCCGTTGCAGATGTCATAAAAAGCCATTAAATATTAAATATTTTGAAATATTTTTTTTCAATAGCAGCAAGGGGGACATTTTTTGAGAAAATTTTCACTCTTCATTTGGTTTGAGCAGTGTAGATTTTTACTTTGTGAGCAAAAATGAAATCAGATCTTTTGCATAACAAATAATCTATCGAATATGCATGGTAGTATTGATTATTTAATTAAATTATTCATAAGACATCGATACATAAGATTACAAATTTCACCAACATAATGAACACCGTTCCAATTTTTTACACTATTCCTACCATTATACTCATGACGAGAAAATTTAAATTTCTGATTCAATTATCATCAATTTCCTCATAGGCTGCCGATGACTCGATATTCATCAAGGAACATGAAATTCAACATTCATCATCGAAGTCGTCGCAACGCTCCTGTACCAGTCTGGGACAGAGTGCCACGGGAGGCATCTGGACTCTGGCAGCACCGTTGCTGTTCACCTCTCATACAGCGTGTAAAAAGCCGATTATACGCAATTAGTGAGTATAAATAGCCTTAAAATAACTATTATTTTCATTATCCCAATAATTTCAAACCCGGAAGAAATTTGAATTGCTCCAGAATGTAAGAAGCCCGGCATATATAATAATTTGGTGGGCGAATATAATCTAAAATTAACCAATATCATCTATATCCAACCGATTTGAAATCGAAATACATTTTGTTGGAGTGATTTGTAAACGGTATTCGAATAATTTGAGTCGGTATACAGGATGGGATTCAGAATAAATCGCAATTTTATTCACACTATTGAAGTAGCAAATGAATTTGTTGTTCATCAAAACTCTAGGCTATAGAAGTAAATAAAATAATTTTCCTTTAGTATATTGATCAATTTATTAGTTAATCGATTTTTTACAATGTTGCTGGAGATATTAACTTAATAATTCTTTAATCTAATTATTTATTAATTTTTTTTAATTTAAATATTTTGTCATCGAATTAACTTTATTAATTATTTAATTAATATTGTTATTAAATAATTTATACTTCTACAGTTTATTTTCAGAATACCAAGTGGTCAAATCGAAATATTTTAAATACATTGGCACGGTATAACATGACCGCAATTTGTGTTTTCGAGTCCTACTTTCACATTCCCGAATAATTGAATCTATTGTTAACTCTACGGAAATTGGTCGTAGTTTATCAGTAACAAAATTTTTATCATCTGAGCGCATTCAAAATTACAACAAGACAACAAGAGGAATGTCTCTGATATAAATTTATGACTTTTTTTCGTTATGAAGAAGTGATACTCAGCTTGTGGACGGATGCGGTATATTTAAAATTATTTGTTTTCTTCCTTGACAGGTGTTTTTTTTTCTGATCAATTCTGAGTAATTTGGTGAAGAACTCAGCCATCAGTTGTTCGCATTAATTTTTCAAAGTTTCAATAAAATATATGAATACAAACATCGGTATAATATTAGTCGTTCACTATCCATTACAATGATTTTTCATAATTTTTCCAATCGTTTGACTATTATATACCGTATATACAGTATTTAACGCATTTACCGTATATACCGCAATAATGCCGTATTCACCGCATTACCGTATATAACGTATTACCTTATATAGCGTAATAATATCGTTTATACCGTAATAATACCATATATACCGTAACAATACCGTATATACCGCTGTACACAACAGGCCAGCGAAGTCGTCAGAAGCGCAGTGGAGGGAAGGTGACGGTGGTGGAGGGAATGGAGGGTATGTTGGTGTGTCCCCTCGGGGGCTACCCTCCCCCTTCCATTTCATGGGCAAGGGATAACATCAGGCTGTCGCATGGTGTGAGGTGTGGCATTTGAAATGATTGCTATTAATATGCATATATGTATTTACATTTTTTAATTATCGGCAATATAATTTCCAACTATGTGGAAGTCATTGATTATTTATCTGCAATCATAATCATTTATCTGCATGCATGTATAGTGATCCAGTTTTCCTCATTCGTTACAACACGTATTTTCTTTTGTGTAAAAATTTTCTAGTAATCGAATACTTAACTAGTCATTTACTTTCATCACCCATTCGATATTATTATCACTACTTATTATAATTAGAACTTGTGAAATAATGTGCGCAAATGTTTCATGGTTGAATGAGATGAGATCAGGTAAAACAAATTTTAAAAAATAATAAATAATATTAACAATAATGAAATGAAAATAATAATATATTACTGATAATAATACTACTAAATATATTAAATATATAAAATATAGCATATGATATGTTTTAAATAATAATTATGTAATGAACTAGATACGCGATGCTGGGCAACGGCAGTCTCATCATCCGGCGCGTGGAGGCCGCGGATGAAGGCCTGTACTTGAGAAATTTGAGCTGTAGTTTGGGTGATTGTGAGAACAAGGAGGTGTTTTCGTAAACATCGTCCCGCAATATGTGATATCGTCTCCCGATACATTTATATCGTCTCGCGATATTAATATCGTCCCGCAATATGTTATATCTTCTCCCAATATATTATTATCGTCTCACGATACATTAATGTCATCCAGCGATATATTAATAACGTCTCGCGATATATTAATATCGTCCCGCAATATGTTATATCTTCTCCCAATATATTATTATCGTCTCACGATACATTAATGTCGTCCAGCGATATATTAATATCGTGTCGTGATATTAATACCATCACGTAATATGTTATATCTTCTCTCGATATATTATTATCGTCTCGCGATACATTAATATCATGTGACAATATGCACTCAGGGCCGCCAAAGATCGGACACTTCGGGTTCCTGAGCGCCCAAGAAGTTTTTCCGACAGTTTTTCTTCTTGAATGGATTATTGTTAATATAAAGATCTTCCGAGATAGAGGAATAACTGCTAGTAGGAAAATCATCATAATAATGAGAATTTATAGCCAGGAATTTAGTGAATAACCCATGAACAGAGTTGTTGTTCGCTGAACCGTGCATTATAATTTAAACTCCATTATGAAGTCTCAATGCTTTGGGTGAATTGTTGAATTGTTCGCTGAATTGCTCGCTGAATTGTTGTTCAGCGAGAACCGTGTATTCTAATTGAAAATCCACTTTAGTGTCTCACTGCTGAAGGTAACGATGATTGTTTTTTTAATAAATGCTTAATTGTAATCAAATAACGGAGATTTTTGTCATTCCATTGCAGGTTTTGGTGTTCCGGGAGCTGGCGGAGCGTCACTCCGGGACATACTCCTGCGTCGTGACCAACATTGCAGGAACTGCCAACCAAACCGCCACTCTCAAAGTTAAGGTGAAAACCTCCTACACTGTCCATTCAAACAATTGCAAATTCATATCATTAATAAATTTCATTAGTCATTAATTATCATTGGTCATTAAATTTTATAAGTCATTAAATTTTATCAGTCATTGAATTTTATTAGTCATTAAATTTCATTAGTCATTAAATTTTATCAGTCATTAAATTTTATTAGTCATTAAATTTCATTAGTCGTTAAATTTTATTAGTCATTAAATTTCATTAGTCATTGAATTTCATTTGTCATTAAATTTCATTAATCATTAAATTTCATTAGTAATTAAATTTCATTAGTCATTAAATTTCATTAGACATTAAATTTCATTAGTCATTCAATTTCATTAGTCATTAAATTTCTTCAGTCACTGCAAATGCAAAGTTCATTATATCCGTTGAAGATTGAAAATCTTATCTTAGAAAAATATAAATGAGTTACCGTGAATCAACCATTCGTGTTTGAATAACGTACGTTCTTCTAACAATAATATTGATTATTGTTTAGCGTGTTGCTGTGCAAACGAGTTGCAAATACCATGGAATAATAAGTCATCAAATACAACAACTCATATTTGATTTGTTTTTTTTTTTTGCGAGAGAATAATCGTGATAAGTTTTACATTGAAAATAAGAAAATAATAACATGCATCCCATTATACCTTACATTACATTACTTGTTTAAGATTTCCCCTTTACATTGGGGTGCAGGTTTCCCCTCGCTGGGTGGTAGAGCCAGTCAATGTGAGGGGACAGGTGGGGGCGATAGTCCCCCTTCACTGCCAGGCTAGAGGGGTGCCGCCCCCCACCATTACGTGGATGAAAGCTGCCGGTAATTCTCATAATCTGATAATCACTAAATGCTAAGGCCTCGGACATTACGAATATAAACACGAATAATAACAGTAAACTGAGAATGCCAAGATAAACGGAAGTTTATGAACAACTTTGTCCGATGAATATAAAACATGCGGCTGTTGGTGACTAATTTCAAATATTCGGAACTTAGTGATTAATCTCTGTAATGTGGTTAATAATTGTCCAGTAATTTCGATAAAAATTCATTTATATAACTTTTAAGTTGCATAATTAAATCCAATAGTAAAAATATTAAGATAAAATGAATCAAATGAAATTCATAAACTTACAGAATTGGATGTCCAAGCTAATTTTTTTTCTTGTCTTAGGAACGGAACCTCAAAATTTCCAACCCCTTCCAATGGGTGTTGTCACCGCGGACCCATACTCCAGCGTGCTGGGGATCTCATCAGCCCATCCCCCTGTTGTGGGCAGCAACGGTAGAGTCAGAACAACAATTTCGCGAATTTGACTCAAATTATACATCTATGTTGCGAATAAATTAGAATTTTTCATCCATTCAATGACTAAATTTTGGAGCTAACACCGACATTTTAACTGCCTCGCGAATTTTACGTAGTTTCACAATCAGCTTCCAGCTGCAATGTAACGACAGCGCTTACCTTCGAAAAAAGGTTATACACTGAACGAAAAAAATAGTGAAAAAACGGTCTTACCGGCGTTCGAGTATATATGCCCGCCGCCCCGTGAAAATGAACCGTTTCGCCATTTTTTTTAGAGGATACTCGGGTTTCTAGTGTAAAATTGGAATAAAAACGGCAACATGGTGTTTATTTTCACGTGCCGGTCGGTTACTGAAACGCCGGTAATACCGTTTAACGGTGATTTTTCTACACAATATGATACCATACAATATTATACTATATACAATATAGTACAATACAATATTATACAATGCTATACTGTATCCTATATATCACCATATATTATCACTATAATATGTCTTATTCTTCAATTGTCTACTGTCAGGCACGCTGTACTTGGGGCGGCTGGAGAAGCGCCACGAAGGCTGGTACTTGTGCCAAGCCAGCAACGGAGTGGGACAGGTGCTATCCCAGCACATCCAGCTGACTGTACTGGGTGAGTGGACGTCCAGCTGACTGTACTGGATGAGTGGACGTCCAGCTGCCTGTAATGGGTGAGTGAACGTCCAGCTGACTGTACTGGGTAAGTGCACGTCCAGCTGACTGTACTGGGTGAGTGCACGTCCAGCTGACTGTACTGGGTGATTGCACGTCCAGCTGACTGTACTGGGTGAGTGCACGTCCAGCTGACTGTACTGGGTGAGTGCACGTCCAGCTGACTATACTGGGTGAGTGCACGTCCAGCTGACTGTACTGGGTGAGTGCACGTCCAGCTGACTGTACTGGGTGAATGGACGTTCAGTTGACTTTACTGGGTGAATAAACGTCCAGCTGACTGTACTGGGTGAGTGGACGGGCATGATAGATATTTGATTTACTATGTCTGAAGACAGATTTAGTGGACTGTCGTGACAGTTAAAGAAAGTTTAAGTCGAAATTTTTAATCCGCTATGGTACAAAATTGCCAAACAGTTGACAGACTTTCAAATTTACGCGTTCAATTTGGATGTTGGATATCGTGGCTCCTAGAAACTACATTCAAGCCACGATATATTGCCAGCTCTGCCTACTCGTATCAAAGATACTAACATCGTGAAATGTAAATACTAGAACATTAGTAATAAATGTACGTACTTTAGTAGATATTTGTATGGCTTAGATTACAAATGGAAACAGATGTGGCAATCAAGTAATATTTATACAAGAAATCAGCAAAAAAAATTTCAATGACTTAAAATATGAAATTTTACTTAATAATAATAATTTGAAAGAGATCTGGCAGACAAACAATTTTTCAACGAGAAATTAATACGTTTTTTTAATGACATAATATGATGCATATTTCTTGATAATAACGATTTAAAACAAATGTGGCAGGCAAGTAATTTTTTTACAATAAGTCAGTAGAGAATATTCTATTACTTTAAAATGTGTTATTTTTTCTTAATAATAATGATTTTACAGCTGGTGCCCAGGTGGTGTCAGTGGGTGGGCAGTTGACTGCGCCTGCTGGGCAGACGACACAGCTGAGGTGTGAGGCTCAGGGCGATCCGCCTGTGACCATCAGCTGGACCACAGCTGGACGACCAGTCATCACGTCTGACAGGTCAGAGGTTATAAAAGTGATAATAATAACATTATTCTCTAATAAGTAATTATAATGATAATATTGTAGGATAATAATAATATTATTGTAATAGGTAATATTATCGATTATAATGATGATATTGTTGGAAACAGCTGGTTACAGAGATTTCAAAGTCTTGTGAAATTCTGAAAGTTGTTCAATCCGTTGGGGTTTCTATAATCATGAATCATGATAATATTATTGAAACCCATCATTAACCTAAATTTAAGAATTTTGTGAGGTTTGGAAAATGGTTCCATCAGTTAAGTTTTCTAATGTAATTTTTGGGTTGTTTTATTGTGCTGTTAGCTGCCGCTTTTATTTGCCGGGAAGTTCCTACATACCGCGTAAACTTTCTAATGTTAAAATAAAAAATAAAGATTCCCTATGCAAGTCAATGTAAACGCAATATTAAACTGAAAGTTCCCCAGTGCCGCTAATTTTTGTATATGTGCGGCAAGATTTATTTCTTAATATGGGTATTCAATCCAAATCAGCTAATCTATAACATAATCTAACAAACTTTTTCACCGAGATCTTCACCCGGTCAATTAGCTTGCTTAGAATTTCAATCTATGAAGTTTTTATCTATTATCTCATTTTTTGGTAACAGAAATTTCAATTACTATGCATGCAATACGCATGCAATTGCACATACACTGGCGCGCAACACGTGAATTAATTTGCACCGATGGAAATTTTTTTATTATTTTCCTTCCATGACATTTAGTTCAAAGTTTATGAACTCTGAGTTAGGCTTTTATAATAATAGCTAATCTAATAAAATTTTCAAAATTTTACCTGTTCAGAGTAATCATAGCTTGTTAATCTTTAAAAATTTGACCTGTTCAGAGTATCCATCGAAGAGAGCAACAGCGCTGCGAACACTGTAGTGTCGGAGCTGACAATACGTCATGTGATGGCTGCTGACGCCGGCCACTACACCTGCACTGCTGTGAACAACCATGCTGCTGACAGCGCTACCTACCGACTCCTGGTATTAGGTAATCCTTCATCAGTATAGCATAGCATAGTATTGCATAGTATAGAATAGCACAGGATAGCATAGTACAGCATAGCATAGTATAGAATAGCATAGCATAGTATGGCATAGCATATCATAGCCTTGGATAGTATGATATAGCATAGCATATTATAGAATAGCATAGCACAGCATAGCATAGCATAGTATAGAATAGCATAGCACAGCATAGAGTTTACAGTGCACATGTACAGCAAAACTAGCTTAGCGCTCGTGATAACGATTAAAAATCATTTAGCTATTACAATCTGAAAACAAATACATTTCTGGTTGTAAAGATAAATGATCTCGCGCAGTAAAATCACACGCCATTTAACATTTTTCTATGAGTACAAATGAGAAGTAAAACATAATTATCGCTAAATATTCTTCAACAGGAATATTGCTTCAATATATACCAAATAATAAATGCTTATCTCCTTGCATTTTAAAAATTCACCATACCTCTTCATTTGAATAAGAACTTCCACACCCGCCGTCTGGGGTGACGGTGAGCCCCAGGGGCAGCAGGGCAGTGCTGGTGCGGTGGTTCACTGAACACACGGGGACGCCTGTAACGCTTCAGTACAGGGGTAACTATTACTTATACATTCATGCATGGATATGATTTGGAATCTAGGGAGTTATGATAAAATATCTAAGTAAAAAATATTTTTTTTTCTTAAATGTCAATAGATAAGAATTAATCGTTGTAAGAATCATTCAATATACATTCAACTGATTATTTCACATTATATTTTTTATTTATAGTTTCATTATTGACTGTCACAAGCGACTAACGAATTCTCATTGATCACCTACAGCAATTGCACCTAAATTTCCGTCTTTATATCTAACAAATATGTTTTGTATTTAGAATTATTTATGAAAATTTTTCAGTATGTGGCTAGGAATAAAAGAGCTTGAGATTATTAGCCGCAAAACATTAAGTTCGCACTCAAGTTATCAACTTGCATATCGAATAACATAAAAAATATAACAATGAGCATTTAATATGCAATGTTCCCGATTCAGTTCTCACTAATGACGGTATCGACAACGGCTTATGGACGAATGTGAGCATCGAAAAACCTGAAGCTGGTGACACCCAAGGTGGTTCACAAACATTCCAGCTACGAGACCTACAGCCAGCTTCTCGATACCAGCTGCAGGTTTTGGCTCGAAATCAATTGGGCACTTCTGCTCCATCTGACATCGTCACTTTTGTGACATGGGAAGAAGGTGAGTATGAAGCTGCAAAAAGACATAAATGCAACGTGCCAATGAAACTTCTTAACGAATACCTTTGAAACTCTTGAAGCAGGTATGAATGGTAGAAAATAAATGATTTACAAAAATCGAGGCGCAGTTTAGTCAAGTTCAAGATAACGGTGAGAGTTCATAATAGCATGTGTTTAACATAGCTTTGCTTACCGTGTTTCTGAGACTACATCTAATTATCGTGACAACATCGTAATAAAATGAAATAAAATATAAATAAATATTAGGTCAACCCTAAATGACCTACTTATGTCTCTCAGGCAACTAACTTTAGTAAACTATTAGCGCAGAGGCCATGAATAAATAACACGGAAAGATATATGTATATTGGCGATCAAATTACAGATTTAATAAAATCAGGGAATAAAGGAGCATAGGCAGAAAATACTGTAAAAAATAAAGAAATAGTATAAATACTAAAGTAAAATGACTGAACTATAAACACAACAACTGGACATTGGCACATCATAAACAAACTTGAATTGAGCAAAATAGTTAATTAATATAGGTAACAGAAAAATAAACAATAATAATTCATGAAACCCGACTAGCCAAATCTTATTATAAACAATCGGTCATACAACTCACTTTAGCCAGCGACGCCGAACATGACAAGACCGAATGTTTCTTACGGATCCTAGAAGTCAGTTTCCATTACCCTAAAATGGTAAAAGATAACTACGGTATTACCCTAAAATTACAAAAAGATTGATACGCAGTAATTGTGAATAAAATATGAATGAGCGGGTTTATTTTGTGACATAAACCAATAAGTAACCCGCTTACAGTACGGCTTGCTACTGGTTAATAATACGGTCTGCCACTGGTTAGTAACATGGCCTTCTTATATGGGTCCTAATGCGTTCGAATATTCAATAACGTCACAAGTTTTTGATTATTAACGTTCCTTATGATGTCATTCCCTTTCTAACTCGGCAGGCTCACAATGCGAAGTGCGCACTTTTATCCCTTCAATTCGACATTCAATGAGAATTTGATAATAATTGATACTAATTGACAGGTTCGCTGGGTGGGGAGCAGTACACCGTGCGGGGACTCGAGCCCGGAGCGCTCTACGAAGTCGCGGTCCGGGCCTTCAACCGCGCGGGCAGCGGTCCGCTCTCATCACCCAGGATCATACGGGCTACACTGCCTGCTCGTGCGTATAGTTCTTATAGAATAGAATAGAATAAAATAGAATTGAATAGAATAGAATAGAATAGAATAGAATAGAATACAATAGAATAGAATAGAAGTGTCGGCGTTGAAGAAATAGGCCCATGGCCTGTTGCCGATTCTTGAACTTTTCGTGACTTGATTCACAAGGGATCCGGCCTTTGGAACCCGATCTTTCCATAGCTGACGATTGATTGAGATAGCTGCTGGACTTATTGCCTGGTCCGTAATTTGCTAGGCATTTTAAGACTGAACATATGCTCCTGCATAGCTTCGTCTAATCTTCGAACAATTTTGATGATTTCCATTTAAATGAGTAATTGCGGACAAGACTTTAATATTTATTTAGTGAACAGACAATCGGAAATTAAAACTTAATGTAATCATGACCTGCTCAGCCCCCCGCTGCCCCCCCACTGGAGTGACGTGTCGGGGTTCAGGTCCCTCGTTGGTGAGAGTCACGTGGGACCCTCCCTCGGCCTCATGCTCGTCTCCCCTCGAGATGGGGTACAGCCTCACCCTCACCCCCAGCCCGAACTCACCATCGTTCCATCGCAACTATGGTCAGCTCATACATCTTGCATTGTAATAATTGGCAGACTTTAATGCATTATTAGTAATTACAATATTATTATTATTATTATTATTCCACGAAGAGATTGTCGTGGCCTCTCGTTCAGATCGAACTTCGAGGGCACGTTACAAGTGGCTAAAAAAGACACGAGAGGATAATACAAATACATATACAATAATGCGACAATAATAATGCAGTATCTTAATGCGCGATATATTGCACGGTTACATTGTCTTGCTATATATCAAAGGTTGACACGTACAAATAGTCTTAAATTGAGTGAATCATGCTATGATATGAATGGTGTTCTTTTAAGTATATTATTTTATGAATGGGTTAGTAGTAACAGGTGGAATTTATATCGCGTACGAATTTGAACGGAGTTTATATTTTGAAAACGTGATTGCATTGGTACTTGCAGTTATATTTTTGAAGTTAAACCATTTATATAACATTAACTCTTAATTAATAAACTCAACACATGCTTAAATTGTTGAAACGCGATTGAACTGAATTTGACAATATATTGATATGTACACACGGTGTTCTAGTAAGTTGTCTTGCTACGGCTGGTTCAGTAGTAACGAGTGCAATAGATAACTAAAAAATTGATACATAGAAATGATGTTCTTTTATAAGTGTATAATGCTATTAATAAAGCTTAATAATTGAATAACTAGCGCGATTAATAAGACAGACATTGGTCACATGCAGGAAGCATGTGACCTAATAGATAACTAAAATATTAATACATACAAATGATCATATTCTATTTGTATAATGCTGTGTATATAGCTTAATACTTGAATAAAGAGTTCACCTGCTAAGGCAAGCATTGGTCATATGCAGGAAGCATGTGACCTAATACATAACTAAAATATTGATACATGTAATTGTTCTTGTTCAAGTGTATAATGCTATGTATATAGCTTAATACTTGAATAAAGAGCTCAATTAATAAGGCCAACATTGGCCACATGCAAGACGCATGTAACCTAATAGATAACCAAAATATTGATACATGTAAATTATGTTGTTCAAATTTATAATTCTATCTATATAGTTTAATACGTGAATAAAGAGTGTAATTAAGAAGGCAAACATTGTCACATGCAAGACGCATGTAACCTAATAGATAACTAAAATATTGATACATGTAAATTATGTTGTTCAAATTTATAATGCTATCTATATAGCTTAATACTTGAATAAAGAGTTCACTTGATAAGGCAAACATTGGCCACATGCGGAAAGCATGTGACCTAACAGATAACTAAAATATTGATACATGTAAATTATGTTGTTCAAATTTATAATGCTATGTATTTGTTTAATACTTGAATAAAGAGTGCAATTAAGAAGGCAAGCATTGGTCACATGCAGGAAGCATGTGACCTAATACATAACTAAAATATTGATCATATAAATGTTGTTGTTCAAGTGTATAATGCTATGTATTTAGTTTAATACTTAAATAACGAGTGCAATTAATAAGGCAAACATTTGTCACATGCAGGAAGTATCGAGGCCACGACGACGAACCTGGAGAAGAGCGTCTCAGGCTTACCGCCCGCCAGCAACGTGAGCGTGCGCGTGCGAGCTGTTAATGAACGCGGCACTAGCGCCCCTTCTGCTGCCGTACACTGCACCACTGCTGATGGTGGTGAGGCGGGGTGCTGTCGTGGTGTGGTGGTGTGGTGGTGATGGTGAGACGGGGTGCTGTCGTGGTGTGGTGTGCTGTCGTGGTGTGGTGGTGTCGTGGTGTGGTGGTGTGGTGGTGTGGTGGTGGTGTTGTGGTGGTGTTGTGGTGGTGTTGTGGTGGTGCTGAGGTGTGGTGATGATGCTGAGGCCTTGTCCATGGGCCGAGTTGTTGTCGTGGTGAAAATGTTGAGGTGATGTGAGTTTGTTTAAGTTATACACTAGACTTTGCTGATTAAACTAAACTATTATTCGATTGGTGACATGATAGTTGTGAAATGAAAGGATGGAGGGGAGAGTGAGTCATGCGCATTGTACAGCAGATATGACAGTATGAATTTATATTAAAAAAACTAATAGCTGGAAATCCTGATTAACACTTGCAACGATTATATTCCCACGAATCCAGTGCCAGGTCCCCCAGCAAGAGTGAAGGCGGTGGCCACCAGCCCCACGTCTGTGGTGGTGAGCTGGTCGCCCCCTGCACCGAGTACAGGAACCATCCTGCACTACACCATCCACACGCACTCACCAGCACAGGTATCATCATTATTATTATCATAATTAATCTTGTCATTATTAATAATATTATTGGTATTTTTGTTATATTATTATTCTTATCTTTAATACTATTATTACTATTATTATTATCATTAATATTATAATTATTATCATTTGTATTATTATTAGTATTATTATAGTAATTCAGTAATTACAGGACATATGAAAATCAATATCCAATTTATACCAATAGCGTTCTACCGCAACTTCGGCCATATATTGTCAGGTTGCCTTATCATATCTAAGATATTTGTGTAAAGAAATCAGTAAATCTATTTTATTCACCCGTGCGTAAATTTAACAATTTTAGAACCTATTTTCAAACCACATAATATCCCGGAAACGTACATTTCGATTTATCCTAGCACGACCTTTCTCTGAAAATGTAATTCATAATAAAATTATGCCTTCGTTATACCCAATTCATATAAATTTATATAAGAGATGAACATAATTATATTTTCTGATATTCCAGGGTCGTCAACGCGAGGTGGTGGGGGGCGGGCTGGGTCAGCCCACGTGGCGGGAGGTGCCGGCTCTCTTCACTGGCACGCCACTTCAGGTGCAAATATTAAAATAACTAACTCAGTACTCCCTTCAGTGAGTGACAGAGAGCGCATTTTCTCGTCGACGAAAACTTGAGGTCACGGACGGACAGACAGACGGACAGACGGACGGACATGGCGAGCACAAAGCGCCTTTTTTCCATTAATGAGAAAATACGCTAAAAAGCAATATGCCGTTAACCATAATTTAATAAGTCAATTGCTAATTCTTCGAAAATCGGAGTCTTCTTAGATAATTAGAATTTGCTTACATCATTGAAGGCTTCAGAATGTAATGATTCCATTTGTTTCTCGTTATGAAAGCACATTGAAGCCCCAAACAGTTAAAACACATTTCCCGATATTGGCTATAACTTTAAACTTTACAGAATAAACTTTACAGCTTACATATGCAAGCAAACTAACTTCATCCCATAAAAACTAACTTCATCTAACAACAACAACTTTACTTTCAACCCTGGATAACATTAGACCGTTAAGATTGCTATTACCTCTTGTATGACACACGCGACTCAGAAACGGTAAAACATTAGAATTGATCAGCTCATGTAATAAAAATGTGTATACTTTTTTCTTAGATTTGAAACGTACTCACAAATAGTTAATAATGTTTATTTTTGTGACCGCGACATCATCTGCAGGGGAAGGCCCTTCTTCCCCAGTCGTACAAGTGACTCCCCAGCTTCTGGGGGAACAGCCTCTCCTTATTCTGACGGGGGAGGAGGTGTGGGGGGTGCTCAAGGGGGGCTCAGTAACCCTGGGGTGTAGGGTTCTGGGAACCCCACACCCCAACCTACGTTGGATGAAAACCAACCCCAACGTCAGGGGCAGCACCGGGGTTGGGGGAAGTGTACAAGTAGGAGGGTCTGAAAATGAGAAAATATTACTTGGAGGAGACCTGCACATATCAGGTGAGAATATATAGCTTCTCTATATATTCATGTATAGTGATATATATAATGTATTATATATTCATAGCTTCTTTGCTTCTTTGATCAGTTCGGAGCCATTTATCTACAAGTATTCGTCAATTTATATAAATGTACAAGAATTGCGTGCATCATAAATTGAGCATTTATTTTATGGAACATAGTTGAATTGCTAATTCAATATATTTGTATCCGAACCACGCTGAATCCCTTATCAAATCAATCACAATAGCCAAAATGCATTACTTATACCAAACAATAAGGAAAACCTCGTAAAAACCTCATTTAGTCCACAATCACAATGACGATCATAAATTATTTTCATCCATTCATTGATTCAACGATCCTGGCCGGCCTATAATAGTCGAAAATGACAAATGCAATTATATTATAAATTCACTATCCATCGATACACCAAGTACACTTAGAAAAATGCATGTGTCATACTGTTCAAAAACTAACACATTTTCTGCACGTATCTCTAATACGCCATTTTGCCAGTCTAAACTGGAAGTATGACTCACACAAGAACAAAAAGTGCATTGACATTTGTACAAAGCATCACTAATTTCCATGTGTGCAGACATCCAGGAGTCAAGTAACTACTCTTGTCACGTCCACAACTCGGCGGGGTCTGACCACGTCACCCACGCCGTCCTGGTCGTCACGTCCCCGTCAGCGCCGCTGCTCAGGGTGGTCCACACGTCACACTCGTCCCTCAACATCTCCATCGTCACCCAGGAGGACGGAGGCGCTCCTGTTCTGGGTATGAAATTTGAGTAAAAATGAGTAAAAAATGAAGATTTTCTGGCAGGCATATTACTAATATCAGAATATTTTATAATTCACCTTCTTCATAGTACAGTAAATACTTCATACTTGAAGAAAAACGTCACTTCTATTACAACTAGAACTATTAGATAAACATTTCAAGATATCTGTAGCAATTTCTGTAGTTAGATAGTAATACTCATATACCTATACAATATTTAGGCCTAATATTGCTTCACCATTGAATTATTATTGGTAGCGCAGTCACCTCCATGAATAACATCAAGAGTTTTAACTCATCTATAATTAATTCGAAAATGTTTAAATAGTTCAATTTCTCCTATACTATAGTGTATTTTGCGTTACAAAAAATCGCAGTTTAATTTGGAAAAGCTCAACAAATTTGTATTTTTAGACTCTGGAACAAACATTTTGAAATATCAACTATCACTATGAACTAAAATTTCAATTTTCAGGCCACACAATCTACTACCATCAACCTACTTTACAGACCATCTGTAAAGTAGGTTGACCTACTACTTTACAGGCCACACCTACTACCATTCTGCTTTACAGGCCACACAATCTACTACCGGCAACCATCAGGATCGTGGGAGGAGTTGTCCGTAGTCCCAGGTCCGGAGTCTGGCCACAGCAGCGCGGTTCTCAACTACCTACCGTGCGGTACTCAGTTCCACATCTACGGTACGAGTGTCAACACACACGGTACCTCACCAGCCAGTGCCGTGCTGGTCACAACCACGGCTGGCAAGACTCCTGGAAGACCTGCTGTCAATGAACTCATTGAAGTAAATGAGACGTGTATCACGTTGAGGCTTTACACCTGGCCTGAGCGAGGATGTCCCATCACATCATGGAAGGTATGTGATGCTCTTGCATCATACCTTGATGGGTTATGTAGTAGACACGAAAAATGAACACATCATGGAAGGTATGATGCTCTTGCTTGGGGGTAATGTAGTAGACACGAAAAAGGAATTTAAATTGATACTTATAATCTATATTGAATTTATTGTTTTAATTATTAAAAGATGTTTCTTTAGAGGTGTTGAAATCGCCTAATCAAATTTGATCAGCTGTCTATCAAAGGCATATATGATACATATATAGGTTATGAGATTGATACTCATAATCTATGCATGTATCATATGGCTTTGATAGACGGCTGATAAAATTTTATTAAGGAATCTCAACATCTCTAAAAATAACAACTCGTAATAATTAAAACAATAAATTTGGCACGTATGTCTACTAGGTGAAATTAAACAAAAGAAAACAATACTTCAATGTTTAATTGTTCATATCATAAAAAAACACGTGTTTGAAATCCATGCAAAATAATCATAGTTCATAACTCTTATGCATTGTTTCGCGCATATCCAATGCATATAATCGTAGTGCATCGCTCACGCATGTTGCACATAAGCGTATAGCATCGCGCGCATATAATCATACTGCATTGTCCATGTATAATGCATACAATCAAATGCAGCGCGCATATGTCCAATGCATATAATCATTATACATCACGCATATTTACTGCATATAATCAAAATGCATCACGCATACATGATGCATATAATCACAATGCATCGCGCCTACATGATGCATATAATCATAATGCATCGTGCATATACATTCCATAGAATTGCAATCCATCGAACATACATGATGCATATGATTATAATGCATCGTGCATATAAATTGCATATGATTATAATGCATCGTGCATATAAATTGCATATAACCATAATGCATCGCACGTATGTAATTCATATAATTATACTGTATCGCAAATGTGTAATGCATATAATCATAATGCATCGCGCATACATGATGCATATAATCATGACGCATCTGGGCAGGTGGAGCAGCAACATGAGGACGGACAGTTCCGGGACTGGCAGATCATCGGGTCTCCCATCACTCGGGACACACAAGATATCGGTCTGTGTGGGATCAGGGACGGCTCTCGGTACCGGTACCGCATTGCGGCCATGTCTGAACCGGGACCTACTACTGCCATATACCGGGTCATCTTAGACCCAGTCGATCCTTTTGGTAAGGAGAATCGTTACTTAAATCCGAATTAAATTACAAAAGAAAAGTATACTCGGCCGTAAATAAATATATGTCTTCGAATTATATACAATGACTTTGTGGACACGTAACACGTAAAATTGGGGAACGCATTCGAATAATATTTTCATCATTTTTATTTATTTATCAAGTTGCCTATCATGTTTTAGATTTTTTTTTAAGTCAATCGTTCTAATATCCGTTGGATGCATGAACGCATGCCAACTTAAAATTGGGTCTCAATTTATGATTACATTGAAATTTTTACTGTTATCGATAACAGAGCATATTAATCCTTCTCTGAGAAATTATTTTTTTCTTCCGGATCGCAGACAGTTCACGGAGGACAAGTTCAATCCATGAAGTTTCGATAGCTGAGCCCGGTTCCGATGGTTCGATCTTCGACGTTCACTTCATCGCTGGCGCTATCAGCGCGGTTCTGCTCACAGCCGCCTGCGTGATCTGCGTCAGCCTTGCATGCTTGCGACGTCACGTCTTCTTCAGGAGACAGCGCCCTCTGAGCACCAGCAGCAAGGAAGAGCTCAGCAGTAGTAAGATTTATGCGTCTTTGAGGTCCACCAAAGGAAGAAAATCTTCTGTGTCGACGCCTGTTAAAAGTGGCAAGAGCAAAAGCATCGCTTCACTTGGCTCCCAGGACTCCTACGGAAATGATTCCTATGAAATTTGTCCCTATGCCACTTACGGGTGAGGAGTTTGTATGACCATGAAAACAGAAATAGGATAGTAAATTTATAATAGTTTTGTAAAAATCAAATTCATCAATTGCATGATTGCTAAATTAAACGTATTTCCGTAATTATTGGTCTAATTTCTGCTTCTATGATTAAAATAAATGTATTGCTAGGCGAATTATTCCTAAGAGGATTAATCCGAATATACAATTTCAGTATACAAATAAATAAAAATTAACTGTATTCAAGATTCAATTTCATCGGCGAATGAGGATAAACCGCTTTTAAAATAAATTTGTATTATTTACAACCCTAAGTTGTAATTAGCCTTCAACAAGTAGATTCCTAAGCCCGATCGTCTTGCAGTCAGGAGGACCAAGCGACGCTGCAGTACGGGCTGAGCGTGCACTCACAGATCTCAGGCACGCGCGAGTGTATGGCGGCGGCGCGGACCTGGGACGAGACTGGTAATTCGCGCAGTTCATAGATGCCCTTATTTATGATTAGTATCTTCTTATCATGTTAATAATGACAACAATCTTCGTTGTCATTAATATCAAAAACAATCTTCGTTATCTTTAATAATGACAACAATCTTCGTTGTCATTCGTTAACAACGTTAACAACGTTAACTTCGTTAACACTTTTAGAAACCTCAAATATTGTGAGTTGGTAGTGGGATACTGTGTTTAAAACAACCAAAGCAACACTCCTACAGAAGGCACAAATCTTTTCTTTACCTACAGACGTCAGCTTTAAAACAGAGAGAAATCCTGACAAAAGGAGCCTCCGGCGACCTCCTGCCGATTCCAAGCAGCGCGAACCCACAGATGGGGAGCTTTGGGTGCACATGGAGGACCCCGAGAGCTACGATGGCGATGTCAATCCTCCGTGCAAGACAGACGAGTCCAGCTCTGAAGGATATGGCGGCCGGCAGACGCCGTTCCCGCAGTTCGAGCGGCAGCACTATGAGCCGGTGCAGCGGCGGCAACAGTATGGCTTTGATCAACAACAAATAAAGCCACGGCCGCAACAGAAACTTCCCACTATGGCTTCCGATGTAGTCAAGGCCAAAAAATAAACTTTTAAACTAGTACGATGTTTGTGATAAATTGTCGGCCAAAACAATAATTGTCGATAATGTACTCGTTTGCAATTCGGCCTGATAACTTCACTGGTCGTGAATTCTTTGTAACACTCGAATGTTCATAAATGATCGATGTCTCCAATGTTCATAAATGATCGATGTCATGAACGTTGATTTTGTGTCTTCCCTATGCCTGGAAACGTTTCTCATTCTCACCCTGTCGTGTTAATGTTATTACTCCTATAATTTCCCGCTGAATCAAGGCATCCGCTGTTATTATGTGTTGAATTTGGCTTCAATGATAAATTCGAATATACTATTTCTCAAAACGTTAATACTGAATTGTTTACAAAAATACATTTTCATGTGCGTCTATCACAATGATGTAAATATTATTGAATTTATGAGACTTTGAACTCAAATCTCCCTTCGAAGACATTTCATCTATCAGGTCCCATATGAATAGTCCTTTGGCCCAAGAACGACTGAAAGCTTAAGTTCAGAACCTAGGACTTAGGAGCACACCCATCTCGTAGAAATAAAAAAAGTTGCAATTAAAAGACGCTAGCAACCTTGTAAATACCATTTAATATGTTTTAAGTTACAACGATTAAATAAATTTTACAAGAAAATAATATGTTCACTATCGATGTTTAGTTATTTTCCAACTACTCTATAATAATTCCCATATGCATAAACAACCAATTATTACTCGCTTGGGAACACACAGTATTTCCTACTAATGACACGACTGATTTTCTTTAGTTTAAAGAAAATAGACAGTAAATTTTATCGGCTACTTATCTACTTTACCAAATTTTAATAATTATCATGAATATCATTTTGCACAGCTTAAAATTGGTAGTAAACCCTATTTGAAAATACTTATATTATCAGTCTGCTTATATCGCAAGTTCACAAGGAATTTATAGGCGCTTGGGAACACACGTTTTCAATATCGATATGGTGAATTTGCTTGGTGTTTTCTTTGCTTTTAAATTCCTATTAGAAAATCTGCCACTAATTTAATTATGGAAATGTCTGAACTAATAGTGGGAGAATAATTTTTTCAATTTCATACTTTCCCTCCATTTCTGGGAAAACGAAAGAAGATTATTGCAACTGCCTGTAGGCTGTAACTGTAACAGAACAGACTTGGTCTTTCAGCCATGCTGCCACGATCATGCCATGAACATATGAAAATATTAAGTAATCATAACACGTCGATTGTGCTTTTATTGTTGTTCCAATGTGTTGTAAGTACCTCTATCCCACCCCAATTAGAAGATTTGTCTCAAATTTCCCCGTCGCTCTCGAAGCGATATTACTTGTGTTACCCTTCAAAAGAAACAGCATCGATCATTCCTGTATCTATCTAAGTATCTTTTTTTATCATCCAAAAAAAATCTCAAACAGCGATTAAAAATTATTATTTACCTAAAATTTTGTGGAAAAACTCGTAATAATCCCAAATTTTGAGAATTAATAGACAAATGTCGCTCATCACTAAATTACTTGTACGAAAATTTCCTCGGTCAAGAAATGGTCCGATAGTGATTAATAAAGGGTGCTTCCTATACTCTATGGGACACTGGGCTAGTCTCAGTGGGGTATGGCTATCAAGACATACCCAGCATGTAATCTTTTGAATGAGGGAAGTTCGGACGACTTGTCGCTGGACGCCCTCTAAGAATTCTACTTGCGTCGTCTAATTAAAGCAGGTTAGAGCGATTTAATGTCATATTATAGGATCTTGGAGAGGGTGGGTTCACTCTGGAGAACTTCAAAAGACGACTGGACGTGTTCCTGAGCAATATCCCAGATCGTCCGCTCCTGCAACACTACCAGCGGCGAGGAGCAAGTATCAGCTGTCCCATATGAGGACAGGTGCCCGATAGCCGAAGGCGGCGATCCATCGTGGCCCTAGGTCCGAAACATATACCAAGGAATAATGGAAATAATCAGACTTTGAGGGACTTCGTTCTTCAAGGGACTTATAGAAAAGTTCACAATGCAAATAAAATTCATTCGCGTAACTTGGCAGTAACGTTGCTTGAAAATATATTTACCTGCGAAACAAAAACCTAGAATTTCAAACTTCCACGATAGTTGAAGGGACTACTGGAACGTCGTTCGAGAATAGGAGAAAGCTGAGTATAAAATAAAATTAAATAATAAAAATGATTATTTGTGGCGGCTTTTTGGAAAAATTACCCAAGGAATAATCTAACTTACACTCTTTCTCAAGACTTTGATATTTATGACTATTAGAGACTTCAAAACAAGGAGCTGTAAATTTCTTCTGGGATTACGATAGAAATTGACAAGTTATTCTTCGTTCTGTTCCTTGGTAAATTCGATGAACAATGCTCCGGAAACGATGCAAACATCTAGTTCATAATCACGGAGACCTCCAAGACTGCTTTCTGTAGAAAGGTACTTAAATTAAACACGAAACCTTCAAGACTTTTAATTGAATGATATACGTCGATCCAAGCTCTAATATACAGCAATAAGGTATACAGTACAGTGTCAGGGATTTTAATAAAGATAATCTTCGTTGAGGGTCCTCTTCTCTTTTCATTGACATCAATTGTAGTTGGATGTTTGGACATTTCCAGCATTCTTATCCTAACTATTACTGCTTGCATTTATCTTAAGTCTAAGACAATTAAACAATCGTATGACGTTCTTATACATTAACAACATCCTTAACTTAAAGGAACAGTCTATGTACACGAGTGATGAATTTACAGGTCACTGCATACGCACAATTTCTTTTGACCATTTTCACACGCACAGAAACTTAGTCGTTGGGATCAACACACTAAGGGAAAAACAATCCGCAGCAAGTTCGATTCGTAGTGAATCGCGCTGAACGTTATCCAGCTGCTTTATATTCATGAGATGACCAACTTACCAACAAACCAACCGTCGGGCTAAGTCATGTTGACGGTTGAGAACCTGGACGATCTCGTACTTGGCGTGCCCTAAGATCTTGGTCCAGTCAACGCTGTTTCGAACTGAACAACCTCTCCAAGCAGTATTAATATCGTTATCATCTAAGAGCTTCATTTGTACATTAGAGTCAAGAAAGGTGCCGAGAGCAATCTTAGGTTAACATGTCAAATAAATGAGCAGTAAATTTGAATAAGCCAAAAACAAAGTGACTCTTAGTCATCAAGATAGTATAAGATTCGTTACAAAGCTACTCTGAGAACTCCAACAAAAGATCCTTCGAAAAAAAAAAAATTAAAAATAGAGCCTTCTTGTGATAGTCGGATAAAACCGATTTCAACGCAAAGTCGAGCGAAAATAAAAGACACGTTTGTTGAATAAACATTCTTCGCCTAAAAACAAAAATTCGGAATGGCAACGAATGGAAAGGCCCAGGGCATTTGCTTGAAAAAGTAGGGGTCGAGGACAGAATCACCGGCCGGATCCACTCTAAGATTGCAAGTTTTGACAAAGAGACACTAGTTTTACGACTTCCGGAAAATTGTCTACCAATATAATTAAACTAAATAAAGCTTGAGAAAGATGATACAAAGTGAGAGAAAATTGCCCATTAGAAAGACATAAGAAAATACATCTAGCCAAGTAAGCACGCCCAAAGACCTCTCAAGAGGTTAGAATCCCCAAATTTATTTTCTGCATGGAATGAGCAGCGGCAGCAAAATGGCTGAAGAAATCACGTTCGTCATAAACGTTAAGAACAGAGCGGCGGCAAGAGCGTCATGGTAGGATGCCTCATAAGAAATGAAGCCGGTAAAATACTGCGAAGTTATAAGGACTTCAAAGCCTAAAAGATACGAGCGAGAAAAATAGTGCTCTTAGAAAAGTCAACTAATCTGCTACAACACCGTAATTTTGAAATTAAATAAAATTAGAAACCTGTATTGTAGTACCTAATCCAGTTTCAAGTGCCAAAACTATCCTCCAACAGCTCCTAGCAACAATATAATAACTAGTCATGCTTCAAAATCTTTTCTGAAGTGTAAAGCTACGAAAGAAAGTGTAGATAATGCCTTCATGTAGTTCAGAGAGACAACAGAAATTATATCGAGTTAACTGGCGGCTCAAACCTCCAACTCAACTTTCATGGTAGACGCTTTCGCACACTCAAGGGTGGTAAAGGACGAAAATTTTACTGCAGACAATTTTACCACTTTCAAAATTGCTACTAATGTCGAAACCTGATTTCTAAGCCACTTCTTCGATGAAGATATAACAACTCATTAACATATATAATAACGATTTAGAATGAACTGTTGACACAGAAATCGAAGATTCGCAAGCCCAATGACGTCAAAATCAGAGGAGAACGGTATAGAAGCACAAAATAAAGATTATACATACACAAAAGTGATGTATCTTTGGCCAGTCCAACCGAAAACAGTAAACCAATAGGGTGGAATAACTTTCGTATAATCTGTTCAAAACAGAGCAATACTTCATCAAATAAAAAGAAACTATCTACTAAATTTTGTCGATTGCACTTCCAAATACAATAATTGCAAGGATTGAACTAAATCCATTGTAACTCCACTTTTTAGGACTAATCTTTAGCATTCACAGGAAATACACATAGTGTAACGAAGATACAATATACAAAAAAAAAGACATATTAAAGCCCCAAGTATTCCAAAATTACTGACCAAATGAAAAGCCAAGACTCTGCTGAAGAAGCAAGTATAGAAAGACTACTTCACATATTCATGCTTCCATCCAGACAAATTTCCTAGTACACTTTAGACAAGAAATAACTTAAAACGACAGAAAGCTAAACATCAGGGGTTCAGCAAGGAAATGGGCTTTTATTTAAACGATTAAGCATAATTTGTACTCTGTTTCAGAGTCTTGAACACAAGTGCGCGCTCAAGAAAGATTCTACCGCATGTTTCAGTGCACATGCCGAGGTAACGACGACTCTTGAAGTGTCACAGCATCCCACTTGCGAGCCGAACTCGAAGTTACTATACTACCATGTACCATAAAAACAAGAGTGAATCAACTCTTTACAGATGCGGCTCGTAGCGCGCATAAGAGAGCTTGTCAGTTTCAGATCTCATCATGAGAAGATACGCATGAGCGATGACAGCCGCAGTTGACACAATCAGTCAGCTATATAAAATATTTTTACAACTTATGCATAGAAGACAGTCATTTTCCAGTAAAATATGTCACACTTTTGTACGAAGATTCAGGAATTTCAACGTGATAGAAGAAAAACATTAGTGCATTCACTGAATTTCGAGTGAATGAATATTAGAGATTTATATATTCACATACATGTAGATAGTCTAGGCTATTCATGTGGGGTAGGCGAGCCTACCGATTAGGAAGCGGTAAAAGTTGCTTCTGAGAAAAACTCGATTCGGGAATACACGAGTCAGAAGACGCATGAGGCAGGACGGACGAGCCTTCAGGAGTGGAGGGAGGAACATCGCTGCTCAACTTTGTATTGGGGAGTGGCGAGGCTGAGGAATGGATTGCGTATTTCGTTTGGTCTTCTTCGCCGACACAGAGACCAAATTCTCGCTTGAGACGATCAGCAAGGGTGCCGCGTTTGACAGGAGATTCGTCGCCATCCTCGTCGTTGGTTAGTGGCGACATAAAAGACGGGGAAGACATTGGGGAGGGTGCTGATTCACAACCGTCCATGAACAAATTCACCCTTGGAGGTGTTAAGGACGGTGGGAGAGGAGGAGATACTTGAGGAGGTGGCGGAGGTGGAGAAACGGGAGGTGGCGGAGGGGGAGATACGGGAGGGAGCGGTGGAGGGGGAGATACGGGAGGCGGTGGAGGGGGCGGAGTTCCCGGAGAAGGAGGGCTTGGCGGGGAGCCGCTAGGCGACATATCACTAATATCACCGCTCACAACTTCCGTCTCATCGTTTTCATCATCATATTCTTCTTCTGCACCGCATTCACTGATCTCAGGTTCGCCGAGATCACTCTCGGCATTGTCTACTTTTCCACCAACATTATTCGACATAATTTCATTTCTGACAGGTTCATCCATATCATGAGAATGTTTGTCGTTTTTACTTGTAAACCATTCAAGACCATCGTTTTCTCTTCGACGTCGTACATCGTTATCTTCATCATGATCACTGTTATCGTCATGCAAAGATAAGCCAGTAGTGCACTGCAACAAGGAAGCAGCTGATGAGCCTAGGAATGCAGCAGTACACGACGAAATGCGGCTGATTGGCTCCAAAACAGTGGTAATTTCATCGCCTCTTGGCGTAACATCTGGTGGGGCTATTTTGTAGGGGGTTTTCTTCTCAGTGTTATCAATGTTAATAATATTTGCACCGCGTTCACTAGGGTAGGTCTTTTCATTGATGGGTTCTTTGGAGCCTCTTTTGTTTGGGTCAGCAGAAATATCAGAAATCGTAGCCAAACTCGATAATTCACAATTAACATAAGGCGATGCCACGGGGCTTTCCGAGCTTGTAGAAAAAGTGAATGGATTTGCAGAAGTGCTGCAAGAACCAGCGCTTGAAGAATCATCACCATGAACGCTTTTTCGCTTCCGGTATTCTAGGATAGAAAGCTTTCTTTTGACAGGTGCGGAAGTTTTAAGTGAAGGCGATGAACAGCTTTCACTGGGAGTGCCGGGTTCAAATTTCTTGCTCATAGTGCCGTGTGGTCTGTCCTCTTCGTTGAGATCTCCAAGAGTGGTAAGAGGCAGTCCACTGGATAGGGCCGAGCAGTTTCTGTAAGATATAGGAGTGTGATCCAAGGCTCCCAAGGTAGTGAGGGGTGGCCGGGGAGTAAGGTCTGGTTCAGAAGAATTCAAGTCAATACATGAAGTGGATGAATCTGGAACCAGAAGGTGACTCGTGGAACCGAGCGTAGTGATTGAAGGCGCATTGAGGTTTGGCTCAACCTTTAAAATGGATGGTAGGGGAGGGGAGCGAGAGAGAGGAGGTGGTGGATCACAGGGCAAGGCCGGTGGGGATGGGAGTCGAGTGGGAGTCACGGGCCTAACAGGAGAAGGTGGAGGAGTGCTGAAGGGAGTTCGATGACAGGCTTTAACTTCTGGGGAAAATGGAGCGGGGCCTTCTGGAGTGCGTGGTCCTCTCCAGTCAAGTTCATTATTATCATTATTTAATGGATCTCCACCACCTACCGGAGAGAAAGGCTCAGGTTCTGGAGGACTCTTCACATCTGACGATGACCTGCCAGCTAGATTGGTGGTTTTGTTTGGTTTATCGCGGTCAGGCGAGTCTGCAACAGCAGAATTTCCTATGTCCGAGAAGCCTTCAAAGCCACTCTCAGGGCTATCATCAATACCCTCGTCATCATCTGCAACGAGGTCATTATCTTCAGAGCCGTCGTCGGAACTGTACACGGTCTGGTCTGCGTTTAAATCCGTCTTATCAGCATCATTACCAGGGCCACTCTTCTTCCCTGGTCTACGACCACGTCTCCACTTACGTTTACCATCGGCGTTTTTTTTTAGTCTATCTTTGCGAACTCGTCGCTGCTCTTCTTCTTCACTATCCGAAAAGAGAGGGCATTTACCAACAAGAGCATTTGAGAGGTTACCAGTTGAACCACTTAACGGCTCAGTTGACATGGTGTCAACATTGGCAACGACTGCATCCACAGAATCCTCATGTCGCACATCAACAGATCGCTTACGTTTGCGAGTAATTCGAGGCTCGTTTCTTTGATCAATCTCATCTTCAGACGCTCTGCAATCTTCTTCACTATCCGAAAAGAGAGGGCATTTACCAACAAGAGCATTTGAGAGGTTACCAGTCGAACCACTCAACGGCTCAGTTGACATGGTGTCAACATTGGCAACGACTGCATCCACAGAATCCTCATGTCGCACATCAACAGATCGCTTACGTTTGCGAGTAATTCGAGGCTCGTTTCTTTGATCAATCTCATCTTCAGACGCTCTGCAATCTGGTTGTTTCTCACCCTCAGTTTTTATATTATTTATGTCAATTTTTGAATCCGGGGATAATTCTTCCTTAATCTTTTTATCAGTGAAAGTAGCAAAATCATTTGAATCCGTATCCATGGAGTCATCTTTTTTGTACGACGATTCAACTTTTTCCATCTTCACTTCAACTGATTCCGAAGAATCTGCTTCATTCTGCATAAATAAATCAAGAATTAGATACAATAAGCACGAAAAAAATTTGAGTAATATGCTAGTGACGAACAATGTGCCTTTAGACGAACAACATCTTCAATTACGCTTCAATTCATTACGCTAAACTTTATCATAGCAAAATCTGTCCAAGAATAAAAATTAAACGTGCAAACAAGACTCTGAGCTCAGCATCTGAAGTAACGTCAGCACTCTGAGCTTAGAATATTTATCATGATAACTATCAAGCATGCAAGAAAGTGAAGTGTTGTATTCGAACGTATTCACATAATTTATCCTACTTGTCTTTTGATATATTTTACCTTAGTTGGAAAGTCTGAAGGTGAGGAGGGTTGTACAAGTTGCGATTCTGAAATGGATTCTCTAGCAAAGCGGCGTTTCTTCAGCGGCGTGTTGTAATCTATTGCTCCTTGTCCGCAGGGCGGCGAGTCTGAAAAATATCAAAGAGAAATTTTTTAAGCATTCCTTTATTCTCGCACATGGGTATTGTTGGTAGCACATTTTCTTTTCTTTCAATTCTTCATTCATAATTTAAAAAAATATATCCATAATATGCCAACTCGGAAGACAATTTCGAAAAATATAGAATGTAACAACAGGAGAATTAGTTCGAACAATGCAATCATTTCTTAATCAATTGTAGAAAAATTCCTTTTACATTTTCTGCTCTCACTTCAACTAGACTTAGAACTAGAACTAACTAGATGAAAAATGGCATAATCAGCAATAAGAACATTGTTCAATACCAATAACAAAACTTCCTTGAGTAATTAAATTAAAATTAAAATAATTAACAATGTACACGAGCCAAATATATTAGGTTGTGCGATCCCAAGTATTTACAAGGCATGCAGTGATATTATAAATTAATAGGATTTAATAGACTGAAATTAAGTAGCATGGAAAATCAAATCAGCAGTAAGGGTTGCCTTCTTACCAGGCGTGTGGCAGGGACTGCAACCTTCAGGAGCAGAAGGTTCTTCACTAATGGCCTGGCGCAGCCACCTCTTCTTGGCCGATACCCCTGGCGCGTTGTTTGCCAGGCTTAGGGCGGCGCTGGAGGTAGATGACCGTCGCGAGGGAGGTGCAGCTCTCATGTAATGAGAAGGGACTCCAAAGGCTCCACCCAAAGGTCCCATCATATTCATGCCACTGCCACTATTGCTGCCTTCAAACGGAGAATCTTCGATACACTCATTCAGCCACTCGTTCATCATAGACTTTTTTGTCTTAGGAAACCTAGGGGAAACAAGAGCATTATATTGGAGTGTATGAGTGAATAACTTAAAAAATAGCTCAGATTATAATTGCCCCTGGGTCAGCAAATTATTCTGCAAGATACTTACGAAATTCACGAGATCATCATGCTAGATATTGGGTAAGGCGATTCAAAAATTTTCACATGCAATAATAATAAAGAATTCAACGAAATTTAATGGGATATATTACAGTTGATTGCATATATCAACAACTATGATGAAAAATGCCTCCAACTCGAAACCACACATTAATACTCTTTTGACGATGTTGAAGTGTGAAAGAAAGTCTAACAATAAAATTTTTGAACAGACGTCGCACAATCCTTACCTGGCCACGGGAGGCGTGAGGGCTCCAGCATCTGGTTCATAAACAGAGGAGCGATCGTCCGACTTGCATTGGTCGATAGGTCCACTGATGGCTCGTCTTCTACGGTGCATGGATGCCCTTTGGACTGATGAGCTACCTCGGTTGTTTCCAATACGACTGTTCTTCTTGCTGCTCAAAATTAAATAATTATTTTCATTCGAATCACTTAAATATCGCATTAAACTTGCAGGCCAGATACTACCACTTCCACACGCTAAAGAATTAGAAATTGCTTGCCGTTATAAATAAGTCATTTCTTTTACGATTGTTAATAAAAATTACCGAAAAATTCAAATAAATTCTGAATGAATTTACGAGTTCCTCCACCTCACAACTGGGCAAATAGAACAATAGTAACCAAAATTAAAAATTTAACTCACTTCTTTTTACGATGCTTTTCGTGCAGTCTGAAAGTTTCATCTCCACTGCTGTTATCACCATCATCTTCATCCCCGCCATCACCACTCTTGCTGCTGTGATGTCGAGCCCTCTCTTCTTCACGTTTTTTGTCTATTTCCTGTTTTCTTTGCTTTTGCTTCTCAAGCATCTCAAAGGCCTTCATGTAGGCAAGTATTTTCTTTTCCTCCCGCGTGAGCTTTTTGCCATCTTTTTCTGCATTGATAGCAGACAAGACTGAGTCGTTAGGACCCTCGCTCTCACTGGCACTCCGGTTCTTCTGAGATTTCCCTGCACAGCTGCTGCTGGACTTGCCCAGGTGGGGTGATTTTCCAGTTCCACTGCTTCCACTGTTATTGCGCAGGCGTGCTGACGGACCGGCATCTCCGGGAATGTTTTCACTATTTCTCTTAGCCTGGGTTTCAGTAGAAGGTGTGCGTTTACGAGGAGACGAAGCTGGCCGAGAAGAACAATCAAGTCCATCACTACTGCGACGAGTGCGACGCTCCAGGCTGCTGTTGTTGTCGTCCAAACACAAGCTTCCCTCGTCCTGGGATTCGTCTCCTTCTTCGCCATCGTCTGAAGTGCAACTCATTGCGTTGCGTAATTTGCGGCGGTTGCAGCTTGAAGATTCTGACATAGTCCGCCGGCTGCTGCGCTGAAACGGCCACCCGCGCTTGTTGAACGAGCCACATTTCCTGTATATAAAAAAATATCACTCGGTACTCACTGCAGTGAGTGTCAGAGAGCGCATTTTCTCGTCGACGAAAACGTGAAGTCACGGACGGACGGGCAGACAGAGGAAAAAATAACCGACGGAAGACATGGCGAGCACAATAATGCATTTTTTCCATAAATGAGAAAATGCGCTAAAAATTGCTCCCAAATATAGAATTGTCCCACACAGTATTAATCTTCTGGAAAATTTATCGGAATTCAAACTTCAGTTAAATTTAACTTCAGTAAATTCTAACATCAGTTAAATCTGTGCTATGGAAATTCAGTTCTGTTACTAAGATTTTATGTAAATAAAATTCAACTGATCTTCGACACACAAATGAAGGCGAGTGTTTCAAGTAAAAAGAGGTCAAATATCAATGTCCATACAAGATTTTGGGCACATATACATATATTGATGTATACGTGCCCAAACTTCTGATTTACTGTAAAAACATGAATCTAGAGATGAAAAATAATACATGTAACAAATCGGGACCATTACAAGACAAATGTTAAATGTGTTATAAAATAGGGACCAACAAATGTTATTTACAAATATTCATGCCACAAAGGTTGTAGGCTTCTCCAGAATGTAAATTACATCGATTTAACCAGCACGACTCCAGTGTGACGAGTGCGACGAGTGCGACGCACTCGTCGTTACATTGATTTAACCAGCACGACTATGAGCCTAACATGCCACCTCCAGACCGGAGCACCGAAAAACCACGTGAGAGAGGCTCACTGTGAGACCCTCACTCGCGCGACGTTGGAGACCTACAACAGCATCGTTATGAGATGCCTAGACACCACAAGACTGGCGATAGCTGAGGCTCTCATCATCAATCAAGAGTCTGCAGCTATAAATTTACAAACTATCGGATTTTTTTAAGGAAGTTGATACAGTTCTCCAAATTCAAGCTTTAATTTCAATCAGTATCCATAATACCCAAGGTTTGTACTAACGTCATTTCACTAATTCAAATTCGAGTGTCACAAAACTCTTCCCCTATTTGACAATGAATGAATTCGAAACGTCATAAATTATACTAATAAAATGACCCCTGGAAACCTGATATTTGAATTTTCAATTCCTATTAAAAGCCTAATATGCAGTACCTATGGATAAAAACAATAAAATTGTCAATAAGAAATACTCTCTGGTTAACTGAAGAATGACACCAGAATTAAAAAAATGCATTTATATGTATAATTAATTATTTAATTACATATATTTATCACATAAACTACTAACCTGCCATCTCTTTCAGGGGAACTGTGCGGCGATGGTGATGTGTTCGGGCAATTCATTCGTGATGGTTGAGGGCCTAGTTGTTGAACAGATGAAGTGAAGGAGGAGCCACTAGCAGTTGGTGAAACACTTCCTTTATCAGGAGATGAAATTGTCTTGACAGGCGAGGGAGACTTGCAGAAGGACACGCTCACCTTCGATGGAGAAGACACACCTTTAACCCCACTAGGGGATTTCGAAGGAGACGCTGCACTTGCCTTTGCTGGCGACTTGGAACCTCTTGAAGGTGAAAGAGCTGCTGAGCGAATAGGGGATAATGTACTTGGGCGGGATGGAGAAACAACGTCAGGAGACGCGATTTCACTCACAGCATCAGCCAAATCGCCTTCCGGCATGTCCTTGTCCTTCAGAATACCTTGAACACTAACTGCAGTAGGCGTTATGGGTGTAGGAGGGGACGAGTTCAGGAAGGGGCAAATATTGTGGTGGGTGCTGGCAGGACACGGAGGTAAGTGATCGAGTTGAGTTGTATTGCACGTTTGCATGGGTAAGAGGATCTCATCTCCCTCTTCTATATCTTCCGTTGCAACCAGGTACAGATGGAGTGAGCCTCTCTCCACAACATGACGGACCTAAAATTAATGACGGAAAATGAGAAAAAGGTTTTCTGAAATTACATTATGAATCTTTAGACAAACATGTTCATGAAACTTAATATAGTAAGATTCCAGAAAACATGAATAGACGTCAAAAGTAAGCTCAAAATCAGTAGACCCAGATTAGGTTGAAAATATTAAATCAGGATGTAAGGCACTTAATTCCTTTTCTCCTTGGCACTTAATTCCATTCCATCACCCTGGGAGAAAAAAAATTGGTAGAATCACAGATTCGAAATATGAAGTACGCAAAAATTCACTTAAAAATTTTCATTTTTAAGGAAGTGATTCAGAATAGATAAATTTGATCATACCTGTGCATTAGGTTTGCAGCTTCTCCTAGCAAAGCGCGCCTCATTGCCGTATGTGCGTGCGTCAACAGCAACGGAGAGGCCTTCCTGAAGCAGCGTGTAGCGCAGAGTGAATGGCAAAAATCTATCAATGCCACCGCCCCCGCTATTGTTGTTGTTATTATTATTGTTGTTGTTATTTGTGTTGCTAGCAACGTTGCCGCTGTGGCACTTGGAGTTTGTGTTGTTGCCGTTGTTTGAACACCACTGTGACCAGAGAAGATATTTCCCCTGATACTCGAGAAGCGCAGTACCGCTTGTGACAGCACATCCAGCAACAAGTATCTGAAGTAAAATTAAACGCATTTTTACATAGTAAAGCATTTTGTACAAAGTAAGATAAATAATCCTAAAAAATTGCATTACTAAACGAGCCTCAAGTAGCCACGAGTTCTTATTTTTAAATTAACTGACAATTTTCTTATTTTTTGGAGCTTATATGTTCTGCTCGTCTTCATCATTCAATATGTACAGTGCACAGTAAAAAAGCTAATTTTAAACGTGTCTCGTTCAGTTTACATGCATAAAATTGCTCTCATTAGATTCTGACATTTTTGGGCGATTCAAATTTTCAAAATTTACAAATGCAAAAGACAAACTGGGTCTCACGCGGCTTAGCTAAAGACTTAAGAATTTACTTTTTTCTCGAATTCGAGGCAGTTGGGCTGGCTGTTCTCAGCAACTCTGCAGCGGTGGCCCAACACGGCACCTTGCACGGAAGCTCTGAGGTGAGGCGAGATACCATTGATGCGTGCCGCGTGTACACGCGCCCGTAGCTCAGGACTGTAGTGGTTGGTGATAGCAGCCTCGTATCCCTCGACCCAACCACGGACCACGTCTGCGTAGGTCAGTTGGTTCTGGCAGCTTGACGTTGCAGGGGCAGGAGCAATGAGCACAGGTGAGAGTCCCACTGACGGTGCATCAGTGACAGCATTTGTTGCAGAGCTGCTACTTTTGCGTCTTCTCTTAGGTGGAATCTTCTTTTCTTTATCATCATTGCTAGGTGACAAAACATTATTATTGTTGTTATTATTGCTTGACAAGGTCGAAGTGATTCCAGGTGCATTGTTTTTCTTATTATGCTTTTTGTTCTTAGCTAGAATATTATTCTTATGATTGGGAATTGTTTTGTTATTCTTATTGCCAGAATTATGACGAATTTTGTCAAGAAGTTTAGGTTTTTTCTTCTTGGCGATCTTAGGTCTTATTACATCCATGTTACTGGCAGAAGTCTTCCCAGTTTTATTTTTCGCACGTCGGCAATTATCATCCGAGTCAGATGAAGATCCGGGATGAGGCAGTTTAGTTAAGAGGTCTCTCTTGCGGAGCTGAATGCCATGAGCTTTTTGTCTGTCAACTGGCCGGGGATGGCAAGCTTCACAAAGATAGACTTCAGGAATATTATCCTTGCTGAGCCCCATGCAAACCACATGCTGCCACACCTGACAACGATCGCACTGAATCATGTAGCCGTCATCATGCGTGAAGTCACACACGCATCGCGTGATGGAATCATCATGTTCCATCTCATCGCCTTCACCTTCGGGGGCAGTCTCAGTTTCCTCTCCTGAAGGTCCAGGGGAAGAACTTTTCTCATCATCAGAAGAGTTGCTCGCACTACTTGTGTTCAAAGATTTCAGGCTCGAGTGGCTCATATCATCTATTTGATTCTCTTTTCCCATAAGCTGTAATTTGTTAGTGGGAGTTGCAAATGAGCCTTTGGTTTCTTTCTTTGAGGGTGAGCTAATGGAAAGCAAGCCCGTCGGTGACAGAAGACTTCCAGTTGGGTTCAGATAGTCAGGGACGCTGGCACTGCCAGGAGGAGGAGGGATATAAGGAGAAGGAATGTACGTCAATGTAGGAGATGTCGACGGACTGCTCGATGAAGCAATGCGGGAATTGCTCGAAACATTGCCAGTTTTATTTATTACACTCGTTTTGTTATTGACAAGAATATTTACATTATTTTCACTGCCAGTATTGCTACTGGAATAAACCCCACCATTTGTACTACTGATACTGCGGCTTGTGAGCACAGAATTATTAATGGCAGTGCTGACGCTATTGATTGCACCAATAACAGCACTTGAGGAGCTATGAACATTATTACACAAAGCAGGGGCAGAATTATAAACACAGGATCTATTATAAGGAGTAGAAGGATTCTGTACAACACTTCCGTGGGCTGAAGAAATGACGGAGGTGTGAATGCTACTTCCACCCGTGTTGGGGCTGGTGGTGGAAGAGGTTCCAATAACTGGTAATGGGCTTCCACCAACAATAGCCGAGCTCAGTGGTGTGGTGGAGACAGTACTTATACTACGTCTGTATGTATAGCGCTGCCCACCAACAGGAGATGATATGCTGGCAATGTAACTGCTCCCATTGGCGGTTTTCGGCTCAGAAGTGTGCAAGACACCAATTGTGCGATGCTGCACAGCAGTTTTGCTCACTGTCTTCAAAGGTGAGCCGTAATGCAACTGCTGCTGTTGAGTGATAGTGTTAAAGCGTTGCTGCTGTTGCTGCTGCTGGCGGGACAGTGAGTATGCGATTGCTTTAGTGGGACGAGCAGGTGATGCAGGCTTGTTGCTTATAACCCTGCTGTATGTGTTGCTTGACACTGTCCTGTTGAGAGGGTTACTTGAAGTTGGTATGAGAGAACTGCTCGTTTTACTGCGGTGCAACGAGTAGGTTCGCGAGGGCGAGTGCACTACAGAGGGCAAATGAGGTGATGCACTCATCACCACTCCCGGCGGAGAGAACGAGTGGACTACAGTCGATGTAACACCACTCACTACAACACCTCCTTGAGAACCACTACTCCATACTTTTGTCGAAAGTTTATTGGTCTCTTGGCTGTTGGGAGGAGGCAGTGGAGCCATGTAGTTGTGATCTTGTAGCACAACTGCCAAGGGCGACTTCACTGTGCAGTTTTCACTTCCCAGATTTACGGGGGTTTCTGTGGAAGAGCTTTGGGTGCTTGGTTTGTTCATTTTCGTGCCACTGATCCCGCTGTTGTTGTTCACCACAACTGATGTCATCATTGGAGCAACAGCACCTTTGTTACTGACGAGATGCGTGCCTACATAACACTTCGGGAAGCCTGAGTCCGATCCCTCACAGCTGCTGGCCACAAGTACTCTGTAGTGAAAAATAACAATAAAAAACATAAAATGAAACCATGCCTCAATTCCATCCCATGCCTCGTGGCATGGGATGACAATAATAAATAATTGATGACAATGTAAGATGGATAGAGGACTGGGTAGGGACTTTTTACTATAATAATCAACAAGATCCAGTTTCAAGTCAAACTTAAAGTGAAAAGATCTAATCAAAGTACAGAACGTCAGAATCTTACAAATTCAGCTTATAATTAAAGAATTTATGAGTGAAGCTTTGGATATATATGATATCCCAAATCTTAAATACCGGTACTATGTATATATACCGGTAAATCAAAACTTATCTGAAATCAAGAATATTAAGAAGTTCCAAGCAAGTCATTAAAAACATCTACAACCAAGATGAAACATTTAACATTGCTAAAGAAAACCAGTTCACTACCGTACATTACCTTTGATTGACAAATGAAGTCCCGGCATTGCTAGTCCTGCCATGAGCAACAACAGCAGATTGCTGTAATTTGAGGTGCTGTTGCTGGAGAAGTGGTTTAGCTTGATGAAGCACCGTGCCTGCACCACTAGAGCTTATCAGCACTGACGAGGTGACAGGGATGTGCTGCACAACAGTCTGGTATTGCCGAGTTGGGCCATTGCCAGGCATGTGATGAACCATTTTAGTGTAGTGGTAAGGAGCACGAGTTCCAGCCTGGCTGGATACAGTGACAGTCATGTTGGGATTGCTGCTTGCCAATACCAACTGCTGCTGGGGTACTTGAACTACTGATGAATGTTGAGGGACTTGAACTATTGACTGGTGATGTGAATGTTGCTGAGGACTGAGCACAACAGATGATGACTGCTGTTGAGTTAATACAACTGGTGACTGCTGTGGGTGAGTTAATACCACTGTTTGTTGCTGTTGAGATTCTGGAATCACTGACGACTGCGAGTGTTGCTGTGGAAACCTGACCACAGTTTGCTGTTGTCTCGGCGCCAACACAACTGAGGATTGTGCTGGTATGGCTTGAGACTCTGGAGAACGTTTTTGCTGTGAGATTAATCCAACAGCTGACTGTTGAGGTACATGACTCACCAGTGACAAGTGTGTGTGAGGGCCTGCTTGTGCTACAGCCAAGTGAGGCTGGTGTGTTGCTTGAATAATCCTTGATGGTTGTTGGTGAATAACAACAGTTGATGAGAGGGACGGCATGGCAACATTAGCCATTGCCGACTCAAATGTAGACTGAGGAGACAGCACTGACCTCCGTGGAAGTCCAGGTATGGAGATTCTCTCATCACTTAAGCTCTCAGTACCAATATTAGTCTGATGGCTGGAAGACAATACTTCAGTCTCAGCATCAGAATTGTTGATGACGGTACTACTGTTCTCAGTTGCACTGCTATTAGCACCACTTGAGGATGCTGTAGGATTAGAAGAGCCTGGAGCAAGCATCAGTTTGTGAACCACAAGAGACATTCTTGTGGCATATATGGTGTGCACTTGTTCACATGTAAATAGATAGACAGTAATATGGGAAATAGAATTCAAAAGGAAAAGCCAAACACCTAGCACTTAAAATTGGATTTCTGAGTTCAACCACAGGGCACAAAATTGATCAAAACTAACCAAAAATTAACAAACACCAAGTGCCATTGAACACTGAAAAACTGGATGATGTCACTCAATCAAGCAGATCTTCCACTGCTACCTCTGCAACAAAGGCTTGATGCAAAGTAGTGGTTCTCCAAAAAATGTGTCTGTGAATGTCAGTCCAGTTGGAGGTGCAATCTGAGCTTTGTCCAACAGATGCAGTGAAGAGAGTGAAGCTAGCACAGATGTCAAATGTACTCCCATGGTGAGAGTCCAACAATGCCTGCAAACATAACACAAGATGAGACTTTTAAAATTAACACATGAATTAACAGGAAATGTCTGGGTAGATGCAAAATATTGCAGCATTATCAAACAATTTTATCGGCAATAGGAAGAAACAATATGCTGGAAAAGCTATACAGCTCACAAGTTTGATGACAAAGTGAATGGACACTTATTTTATAAAAAAAATATCAGAAATATTTTATGTTAACTGCATTAACAATTATTGGATAAAATGTAGAAAATGAATAGACGCACCATTACTTTAAGATGACAAATGGAACACAGGCAGATATCCACAAAATTCTAAGATAATTGTGAACAAAACATATACCGGTACCTATCGTTCATGACTGGCAAACAACAATATTTGTGTTAAGAAGCATATGCTAGGTATTAAGGTAGTAATTTGAAATTACGGAAGTTAATGCCTGCAGATATTGAGCATTGTAATTAGGGCATAATTATTGAGAATAATAGTATGGTATTGAACAGTTAAATTTATAGTGATCTATGCCACAATTAATTTACACATATAGTTTATGAACAGTTAAAAATTAGAAGATATCAATGATACATAACAATGCATGTACAGTGTAAACCGGCCTAACAAACATCCTCTTTTATTGCCAAACCACCTTATGAACTCTCAGATCAGAAAAAAGCATGTTAGTTAAGGGGAGCTTCAGCCCCAAATTTTATCTTAGTTATTTATTGACGGATCGATTCGAAATTCGGTACACGGATGTAAAATGAAATTCTAAGACTTTTTCTTCATGTGAATTTAAAAAATGAAAGAAAATGTGAAATTCTTAGAAAACAAACAAAAAAGGTGGTACTGTAGAATCTCCTCCTAGGATTTTTAAGCTACAACATTGAAACACATATCATTTGATGCATAAATACCATAACTAAAACTGATGCAGAGCTCAATTTCTGACAAGGATGGTGCAAACAACTGCATGAGAACTATCCCATAAGACTGCAGGCGGATAACTGAAGCACAGCGTGTTCAGACTAGCTATTTAAGTGTACTGCCAGTAATTTTGGCCTATCTTAAATGTGAAAGAACACCACCCATAACCTTTTGGCGACCTGTCGTGAACGCATAAATCAAGATATAGATAGTTTTTTGTACCGTTGGATGCATCAGATTGTAAGCTTTAGGACAAGTATAAAAACAGAAGAAGTCAAAATTTTCAATTTTGGGGCAGACACTCTCCTTAATTTAGTTAGCATATTCATTTTTTTTAAATCACTTCAACTTTTATCCTGTTATCAATACTGATACAATTTAAATTGCCTTTGAAAATGGACTCTTAATCACCACTATAGTAAATGTTTTCATGAGTGTGATTTATTAGAATAATGGCCAAGGGGTGCCACTAAATAATAACCTGATGTCCTAATATCCACAGTTTCTCATTAATATAGTAGTGTTCTTGAATTAACAACAAATCAGCACTAGAGGCACTAGGGTTACCATGGTTACCACAATAGGCACTCAATGTGGTATGTGTACAGATTTTCTATAAGTTGCAGTAAAAATGAGTACATGTGTAATTTTTTATTGTAGGCAAAATTACAGGCTATGAACCTGGCCAATTTCACACATTTCAAAGGCCTTTCCCAATTTCTTGTGTAAAAAAATGAAATATGCTGCATTTTTACCTATGCTTCTCAGTAAATCACTGGTCAAATGCATGTTTTTTACCCATGATTTTAGGAAAATTCAGCTCAATATCCCAAATATGCTGATGACTTGATATACCAACAATCCAATCTGTAATAGTAGGCAAAATATTCCATAAATCAGGCTTAAAAGCTATTGCTATACAGTCAATATTCATAAATTGCAGGCAAAAGAGTGCTTTGTGTTATTTTCTTCAAGAAAAAAATTGGGAAAGAAAGTAAAAAAATGTGAAATAAACAATAGGCATTGTCTTCATTATCTCCTTTGCAGTTGACTTCTACCCAATTTTAACAGAATGGGTATGAATGCCAATGATGTTATCATGTTGCCATTTTTGGTAACAAATATGGAGAGAACCAAACCAAATCTTTCCACTACTTTTTCCTAGTGCATTCAAAACATATTTTTAGTTGTCATGTGGTTATAAAACCCTACAAATTGTAGTTCTGACCACAACCAGTATTATAGGGTTTTCATTTTAGTGGCAAGGTCAGACAGTCCATGCAGATGCAGTGCCTGCTGCCTAAGTGGAGAAGTATAGTGTAAACAAAAGACAGTCAAGACACCCTTGAATAGGACCCTCCTCTCAGGCCAATTTCACTCATTCCAATTGTTTCAATAATATGCTTATAGAAAGTACTTTTCAAAGACCACATTTCTAAAGAGGCTGGTGTCTCCAATGTTACAACTTACACATGTACAATGAATCTCTTATTTTAGTTTTTATTATTTAAAAAAATTTAATTTCTTTTAAATGTGAAAAATTATTTTCAAATTATTTGTTTTCTCAATTGATTCATGCATTGTCTCCAACTTGATGCAAGTGTGCAAAATTTCAAATCAATTGGACATGTATAAGTAAAGTGTGTTAAATAATAAGAAAGTAGTGCTCAGAGCCTCAGACAAACAAGAAGTGAAGTTAAAGAGAAGTGTGGTAAAAAATAAAAGGAATGGCTTATTTTTACTGACAATTTTTGTAAACTTCCTTAATTGTATCTGCAGCATAGCAACTTAGGTGTTTTTGGCAGGAATTTATTCTATATCTATATACAATATAAATAAAATTACTTCTGAGTTCTGATTTTATATTACCTATTATTGTAGGCATAGGGTGTAGGCTATGTACAGTGTACACTCTTTGGTTTGCTTTGGTCTTTGCTCTAGGAGTCAGGTTAGGTAGGTAATAATTGAGTAGTCTATTTAGACGTGTCGAAAATAGTAGGTAGCAATGACTCCAATTATCCAATATATAACTCACATAAGGTTAATGGTTCTATATCACGTTGTNTATTGTTTCTATATCACGTTGTACATTGGAAAAAATCATATTTTCAGTTCCAGAACTCCATTTTCTTTATGCTGCACTAGGCCTAAGATTTGGCTGTTGAAACGTACTCAGTTGATGAACACAAAATTTAGAATGAAATGAAGGAAAGATGTGGCTCACACACTAGGTAAGAAGTTCTTTAAAATAAATTTAAAAAGGTTTCCTTTTTTTCTTACTATTCTCAAACCTAGAAACAATCAATTAGCCTACTCAACAACGGAATAAACGAAAAATTTTCGATAGAATATCGCGCGGGAACCCCTAATCAGCTAATGTTCGGCTTATGTCATATAACATTAAATACATAGAGAAAAACTCACCAAATCGCTTCCAAAAGGTCAGCAGCAGCAGTATTAGAAGATTTAGAAGAAACAATACGTGGTATTTATAATCATGAATAATAATAAACGTACATAGGGTGAATTGGGTAGTTGTTGAAGGATGTAAACACGAATTTTTTCAACCGTTCGGTGTTCAAGTGCCAATTTCAAGACATTAATAGCGGGAGAGGTATTACAGATACGAGTAATCGCAGCAACGTTAATTTAACACAATATTACTTGGATCTCAGCAATACATTCTGAACATCTTCTAACTGTAGACTATGGTTCAAAACACATAAATAGCCACTGCCTACAACACTGCCATCTTGCTTGATAATGAACGGGGTTCACACGCAGGATCTGTGTATACAAACAATGTGGAGAATGAGCGAATCTCTAGTGATAACGTCGTAGGAATAACATGGACAGCGAATAACTAATCGTAAACAAGAGAGACGTTGACTCATAAAATGCCAATGTTGCGCATGCGCTGGTCGAGCTGCGTCTCTTCATAACGACTTACAGACTGTTTCTTTTCGCTACAAATGCGAGTAACAAATAAGATATATGTTGGATATCGTGATGAAATATTTTTTGAGTGCTCTATGTCGTGCTCAAATATATGTTGAATCGACAAAAAAACTACTATGTTATAATATATGGACTTATTTTCCAAATGGTCTAAGACAAACGAATTTTTGTGAAGAAGAATCCATGGGCAGGGTGGCCCAGGGGTTAAAGTTCCAGAGTACCAAGATTGGCGCAGAGAGGAGAAGGTTCGGTCCCAGCTATGTGCGAATTCTGTGAATGTTCTGCGATGTTAAGAATCGGCGACAGGCCTACTGCCTAATAACGCTGAAACCGCTATTATTATTATTATAATTGCTGGCCTGTCTGACATGCATGCACCTAAATATAATATAAAAAAGAAATAATTCATTTGCTTCTGTCTTCTGTACACTTTGGGCCTTGCAGACATCGCTTAGATAAACAGGGCTTATGTCACAGCTCGTGTTTTGACTACAAACTATGCTATCAGTTCATCGGTTCAGGATTCTTGGAAGTGGTCTGGTCTTAGAAAGTTAAGGGGACTCAAAAAAAGAGTTGACTCTAAGTGAACTATATTTATATTACGGAACGCGTGACAAAGCGGGGTGACTATTAGCAAGGTTTTATTTAGCTTCAGCCAGCAAACGTGTTGCTAGAGTGGCTGGCGAGTGACTGACTATCGGTGCTGAAGCCTGAAGGCACGGTAGAGAACCGCAAATGTGATGTCACTGAAGGTGGCACACACAATCATTGAACAGCTGAGGATGTCGGTCAATACCGGACACTTACTGCTGAAGGTATTAGGATCTAGATTTGTTCTCGGTGCAGCAAAAAAAATTCTATCAAAATGAAGAACTGCAGCTGAAAGTACATCATGCCTGAATAATTTTAATTTAAAGTATACCTCAGGACTATAGGGTAGAAATAATATTGGGACGACTTTAAGATGACATTAGTGCGTTACAAATGTGCCTGTTGGTATATTGAACCTGTTGGTGAATAAATTAATTGCTACAATCAGAAAATTAATGGGTAATATTGCACAAATATTGATATACTTTCTTACAGATAGCACGAGTAGAAAGTGGACGTAACACTGACAAACGCCCTTTTGCCGGGAGCCTAAACTGGGTCGAAATGGCCAATGCAGTGCTCTTTGGTGCTAAAAGTTTCAGCACTCATTTTAGTCATTTATCTCATTGATATACTGTGTAACGTATATTATTATTTTCATTATTATTAGTATTATTATTATTATTATGCATTTTGTATTTTGTGAAGTATTTCCAATGCCAGAATAACGGCAGCAGAAGCTTCACCGAGCGCCAGCACGACGAAGGCGCTTACTGTGTTTAGGAATCCAAAGGCTTTGAAGGTTGGAGCGTCGCAGGTCTCCGGCTTCAGCGGCTTCCATTTCTTTCGGATGTTTCCAATTATTCCAGCAGTTTGAAACTTGAACAATCTGTCGGAAAAATTAGTTAATTAATAATATTTATTAGTTATTCATAATAATAATTAGCTGATTAAATTTTACTATGAAATTCACCTATTTTTCAGACTATCCCTTTTATTTTTTATCAATTTTTTATTTATGCTGTTCAATCTGTCATGCAATTCTGGGCAATTTAAATTCTTTAGAGTCTTTCAGAAATATTGAAGCAACCTTAACACAAGATGGCCTCTAACTTTATAACAGACAGTAAATCAAGTTTTACGAGATCTGCCGGAACACTATTGTCTATTGAACGAAGACTGTCGGGTGATCTGGTCTGAATGAAAATGTGGTATGAAATGTAAATAATAAAGTTAATGTAGTTAATGTAGTTTTTATTAGTTCAGCTGCTGGATCATGTGATGAAAACATGCATGGGCGCATAAGTTTAAGAGTTCAATAGTAATCAACGTACGCATTTGTAAGGAATAATCAGTTAATAGTTTTTAAACTCTATATATCCTGTTGCTGTTCACTTCCACGATTCCATATGATTACAGTACTATCGTTATAACATGATTTCATTATTATCGTACGTATCATTTATTAAAGAAATGAGCAGATTTCGTCCTAATAGCGAAAATACAAAAAAATATATAACTCAGTACTCACTGCAGTGAGTGACAGAGAGCGCATTTTCTCGTCGACGAAAATCCCCCTATCGCTCCTCCCCTCCACCGCCCTCATCTTCCTTACCGCCCCAAAAAAAATCTTTTCACTGCCCCTAGGGCGGCGATATCGCCCACTATGGGAACCACTGATTTAGAGTTTTGTTTGAATAGAAATTTAAAAGCGAAGAAAACGCCAGAAAAATTCAGCATTTCTCTATTGAAAACATTTTGGAGCCCAGCTCCATCGTCAGTTCGATAAATCTAGAACACAAATACAGTCAGAAAATCAATAAAGTTTGGAGTCATAAGAAAAAAAAAACAAAAACAACAGAAGTTAAAATCTAAATTTACAGGCAAAGGGCAGAATAATAAATAAATACCTATCTATTCACAATTTCTACTGGATAAGAACTGTAGGCAGCATTTAAACTAGGCTTCTCTTTAAAAATATACAACGATTCTAAAATGCGCAGATCGGAAGCACCAGGGGCCATACTTTCAAAATTTGTGTTTCAAAATACTTTCACAAAAAAGTGAACGTAAGTACTTGCGCTCTATTTTCTTGTCTATGATTGGTGGATTTTGCTTGAAAGGCCGTCAATGATTGGCTGATGAACTTACGATCTCTTAACTTTTTTTGAAAGTATAGGCCCTGTCTCTTATACACATCTAGATGTGTATAAGAGACAGAGGTATGTTTATAGCGGTTTCAGCGTTATTAGGCCGTAGGCCTGTCGCCGATTCTTAACATCGCAGAACATTCACAGCATTTTGCGGTCTCGAACTCGCAACTCACTGCTACAATGCTGCTATGCTTAACCGCCCGGCCTCTTTGCCGATTCTGACCAGAAACTGGCGCACAGAGCTGGGATCGAACCCGCGCCTCTCTGCTCCAATCTAGGTACTCGAACTTTAACCACTGAGCCACCCTGTCCATGCCACTGGGCCACCCCTGTAAAAAAATCAAGCCAGGGTGTAAAGACTGTCCACCACTGAATGTTGAATCGAAGCATCACATCCTAACTTTACCAGCGTTAGAATTGTACTTTGCTCAAGCTCTCGGCGTATTACGTACGATCAATCATCATAGCTCTCGCGAAGAGTTGGTGTCTGGCGCCACCACTTCTTCTGAATGGTTTGCGTTTAAAATAAGTTAACATCATTACGTTAAGTTTCCATCGATTTTGATACGATTGATCGTTCAATTGCGAGCATATTCGATCTAGATTATGTTGGTGATGGATTAAGGAGTGGAAAATATAGTAGGAGTGGAATAGTAAGGAGTGGAGTGGAATGTCTCTACGTGCTCCGTTCGATTGTTAAACAAATATTTCAGTGTTTGGGTGGACGATATTGATTCACAAAATTCAAGGCTTTTTTCTGGGGCTGGTGGGCGTAGTTCAGTGGATTTGATTTTGTCGTACTCATAGAAGCTTGCTGTTGATTACACGAAATTTTGACTGTCATNGGAACAGCACGGCAATGAGTCGAAATTGTTGAATGATGTAGTAAACTCCTTGAGTGAGATGGTGCTGTCTCTTATACACATCTAGATGTGTATAAGAGACAGGTTTAGATCTATGAACAAGGCACGAAATGGAAAAGAATCGGCGACAGGCCACATCAGGCCTACACTTCAGAGCCGACATCACTATGTTATGTTATATATTGCTGTCTTGGGGGTCATCTCCTACAGTGCCACATCGACATTTCCGATGAAAAAATCTGTTTGTTAATAAAAATTCAAAATTCAGGGACTGAATCGATGTTATTTTAAGTAAATTTGCATCATTTATACTAGAATTCATTATAGTTCATATTTTCAGAAGGTCGAAACTTCTCAAACCACCCCCTATTCTTCTGTAGGGGGTGGTTTCATTCTGTTCATTCTAACTCAATAGTTTTGTTAAGGGTATGAAATAGATAAGTAGTAACTTTTACTAGTGAAAAGCAAAGAGAAGCCGTCGAACAATTATTATTATTTTTCTAACACCTATTCTATTAAATTTTTTTTTTTAATTTTTTTTTATTTTTTTAAGGCCTCCCACACTCACCATTCCAACAAAAAAAAAAAGAATTGAATTTATTAATTAAAAACAGGGAATGGTTTCATGTCTATTTCTCATGTCTATTTCATGTCTATTTCATGTCTATTAATTAAAATCAACGATAAACAAATATTCCCTGCTGCAGACATGCATAATCCTGAACAAAATGAAGAACTGCAGCTGAAAGTACATCATGTTTCACATTACACGTTTTATTTATTTAATATTTTTCTTTTGCATATATAGTTCAATCTGTCATTCATTCTGGGCAATTTAAATTCTTTAGAGTCTTACAGAAATATCGAAGCAACCTTAATACAAGATGGGCCTCCAACTTTTTTAAAAACGGGAAATCAATATTTACGAGATCTGCTTGAAAATTCTATATTGAACAAAGACTATCAGGTGATTTGGCGTAAAAATTAATGTAGTTATTCGTTGTTAAGAGTTTATAATAAAAACTTGAATAGGAACATAAGTTTGAGAGTTTAATGGTAAACAAAGTAGCGTATTCGTAAGGAATAATTAGTTAATAGTTGATAAAAAGAAATGTATTCTGTTAACATAGTGAAATGTATTCTGTTGCAGTCCACTTCATTAGTTGACAACCAAAATTCC